CTGAAATTTCGGCACCAAGATTCCTGTCGCAACTTGTTCAGAGAGTCTGAACTTTCTTCACCATGACCCGAATTTTTTTTTCTTATTTAAAAAAAGGAAAAAAAGTAATTTTTTTCTAAAATTTTTACGAATATTTTAACTTGAGAAGTTATGGCAAATGTTCGACCATTGACTTCCCTCCACCATGAAAATGTTTTGGCTAAGCCACTACTTTCCTTAAAAACTCTGGTCCTCTTTAGCATAATGTCATCCGATTGTCTACGGTTCCATGAGCTGTTTTATCTTCCACCGGCAACCATGCGCACGAGTTTCACCGCGCGAAAATCACGCCGAAAAAATGATAAAATGAATGCGACCTCAGGCACAAAAGGTTTAGCAGAAAGGAACCGAGCCACATCAGCTATTGCTAAATTTAACTGGACAATTGTATATTTTACAAGAAAACTTTGGTGCAGATTCCTTTGAAAATTTTAAGCAAATTCACTGAAATTTGCACAAAAAATCTCCACAACTGTTTTTATGTAAAAAATTGAATTGCCCAATTAAATTTGGCAGTAGCTGATGTGGCTTTGGTTTCTCTCTGCTTAGAGTGGTCCAATTGTAGTTTCGAATAGCAAAATGTATTCCAAATGATCACGCCATTACATCGCTGGGCAACGAGAGAGCCTATACGTAAAGGTCGTTTGGCTTGCATGCCTCTATTTAAAATTATTTATACCAATATTTAAATGAAGAGAAGAAAATTAGTCGGGTTTTATATAATTTTCTATCATTTGGAATGGCAATAATTCCAACAAACTGTACAAAAACTTTAAAATCATAGGTTGAAAACCGCTGACGCCTGGCCGCAAGTTCGAATAATCGTGTCAAACACAGTGCGACCGGCGCGGCGCCTTACAATACCGCAGGATACTTCATGCATTGCACGTGCAGCACGGTGCAGGATCAGCTATTGATTTTAACTGGACAATTTTATATTTTAGAAGAAAACTTTGGTGCGGATTCTTTGAAAATTTTAAGCTATTTGCTTCGTACGATGCGAAAAATTCACTGAGATTTGCACAAAAATCTCTACAACTGTTTTTATGTAAAAAATTGAATTGCCCAAATGAATTTGGCAATAGCTGACGTGACTTGGTTCTTTTTTGTTTAACGCGGTTCAAATGATAATGTGTACATTGAGAGAGACAGAAAGGAAGCTCAAGTTGCGAATAAGATGAAAATGTCGATAATGTAGCTGTTGGGACTTCGGGACGGAGTAGAAATCGGTCAGCGCGACAGCTCCGCGCCACATCTGGCGCGCGCGGGATATCGTAAATAATATGATTTCGACGGTATTTTTTCAAAAACGCGGAGCGGGAGATGGACCGCCGCACAGTGGACCGAGTCAATGGGGAAAGTCGGACAAAATTGGGAAACTTTAAAAACTCATAACTCTGTTCATACAAAATTTTGAGGTTTTAAAAGTGGTTCCATTGGTTTTTTCGTGAAATTTCCTTCCAGAGACACTCCTTAAAATTCAAAATATGACGAATTAAACATCAATATTTGCAGCTTTAGTCAAAAATTTCATGTCCGTCCTTTCTGATTGACTCGATCCACTGTGCGCCGCGCGTATCCAACCGACCAGGCTGGCGCCATCTGTAGGAGCGGGATCAACATTCAAATTGTTGGCATTCGTCATTTTCATGATCGGATGGGCGAATAGAGAAATATGTTTGATGCCACATTCGATCAAATCTTCCTTGATCTCATGTCTGAAAGCCGTTCTGATGCCGGCCAACGGCCCTCAAGGTGAATTCATCGGCCCGTGCCTTTTTACTTGTCTGCGTGCATCAAATCGCACACTAAACTTTAGCATGACAATCTCTGCAGTATGAAAATCTGGCAACCTCCATCTTGACGCTTTGGCTCAGCTGTAGCAAGCTGTTTCTACCCTGCCTTTCACATACATATAAAAAAATTGCGACACGCACTTTAATTACACTGAAAAAGAACTCTGGCCGTGGAAGCCGTACTTTACGGGCTAAATAGACATACCGTCCTCGTTCCGGGCGTAGCACCCGGGGCGGTTGAAGCTACGGCTACATCACCCGGAACTTTTGGCCTCTGAGTCCGGAACGGACGGTACGTCTAACGGTTCTATGTAGGCGGTAACTTTTTTTTTCAGTGTACGTTAATAAATTGCGCCGCGCAGAAGAAGGAGATGGGTTTTGCGAGACGCTTGTATGACTAAGAGATGGGCGGAGGGAGGGAGTAAATCATAACATGACGTCACGCAATAACCAATGCTAGCATGGTACACTGAATAAAAAGTTACCGGGTATATAGACATATCGTCCGTTCCGAGCTTGTAGGCCGAAAGTTCCGGGTGCTGGCGCCGCAGCTTACAATTAGACTGCTGCGGGTGCTACGTCCGGAACTTTCGGCCTCTAAGCCCGGAACGCGGGCGGTACGTCTATACAGCCCGTAAGTATAGCTCCTACGGCTGGAGTTCGTTTTCCAGTGTAGCGGTAAAGACACGAAAATCGAAATTCTTCTACCGACATAAAGCTGTCAGACAGTTGCAACACACTGATATTTTTCGCGATCATTCTTCAGCGTGCTTCAATCGTGTAAAAGTGGCGCGTGGGATCTGTCTATGGATATGGGATTGGCGCACCCGCGGCGTGGGTGCCACTTATTTTTGAAATTTGAGAAAATTTAAGCGCCCCAGGTCTCAAAACGTGCTACGAGGTGTAAAAATAAGAAATGTTTTTCTCGAAAAAATTTAAATTTTTTTTTAGGGGTCTCTCAAACGCTCTTTAGGGCGCACATATAAAAATTGGTAATTTGGCAAAATTAGTGTCGTTTCCCTATAAAAATCATCAAATTGCGGCCCTATCGAACAAAAATTTCGTGTGTTTGGCCGTATCTGTGGCCGGAAAGTCGTAAACGGCAAGCTGAGGCGAGGTGACCACCCTCCGGCGCGCCCCTTAGGCCGCGCAGTGAACTCGAGCCTCTTGCTACCGACATAGGGTTGCGGATAGTTAATCCCAGCTAGAAATCGACGAGTTACGAATTTTCAGACGAAAATTTTGGCCATTTCTACCGTACCTCTGAGCCTTGGGTCTTAAACTACCATTTTCGGGGGAGAGGTAAATCTGCTTACCGGGCGCGTCCGTGGGTTCGGCCAGTGGCGTGGCGAGCTTTGCGATATATCGATTGATCTGTCATTTAAACCTATGGAAAAGGATCGATTAACGGGGTGTTCGCAGCGAACACCTTAATAATCGATTCTTCACCACGGATTCAAATGAGGAAATATCGATAATCGATCATTCACGCCACGCCGCTGGGTTCGGCTCCTTTTAGCAGTGCCGACCCCGATCTCACCGGCTATTCCTGAAGCTTACATCTTTCTTTTACATACAGACAACTTGACACATATCGTCGCTCCTCCGACGTAAGGGCGTATCTCTTTTTCCTTGTGAACCCTGGGGCATAGATTCATATGTAAAACAAGGCTCATGTGGACATTGAGATACGCCCTTACGTCAGAGGGGCAAGGGCAACGAATGCCTCGAGTTCTCCTCTTCTTTTTGCTTTTTTGTCGAAAGGACTAGTCTTCTTGAGGGAAGATATCCGAAACCATCTTTGAGTTGCTTTAAACCGTTTAGGACACGTGAGCTATTTCATGTTCGCGTTTCGATTTCATTCTATACGTGCTCGAGCTTTCACTAGACGACGGCGGCGTCTGAGATGTTTGAATCTAAATCTGATATTGCATATGAAAGCATGGGAAGGCGCCTTCAAAAGGGAGAATATGCAACACAGAATGTTTGTTGTGTGGCCTAGCTGCAGGAGTTTCATCCGCGATGGCCGAGAGTTAGTGTAGTAATGAGCAAGAATGAGGCATGAAGAGCGCCGCATGGAGCATGTGCGTAACACTAATTAGGTGAATAAATTTGATGAACTTGATTAATTTTAGAGGGACGCAAAGATTAAAACGCGATCTCTGTACGCAGGAAAATGCGACATTAGATTAGGTTTAACCCCCAGAATAACACAAGTTAAAACTGTTTTCCATCTGAAACACGGGAGAAAACCCGGAATTAAACATGGTTAATGCACGAGCAATTCCCCAAAATCCAAGGAAAGTGAAAAATAAAAATCAGTTTCTACGTTCATTTCCTCGTGTTTACCTATGAGTTATTTCCCACTGGTTTAGAAATTTTACATCTAGAAAACATGAGTCATTGCTGGTTGGGAGTAATGTATGAATGATCATTTTTAACTTCAACACTAGGAACCTAAATATAATTAATGATAAATAATAAAGGAACTATTAAAAATAAAATAGGAGTTGGCACGTTGCTAGTAGATTTAAAGATATTTTAGTTGCAAAGGTAAAAGAATGAAATACTCAGATTTATGCTGATCTCTTGAGTGCATTTCTCTCTCTTCTTGTTGAGCACCACCTACACATCTATGCTATGATCAGGAATATTATTAATTTAATAAATGTTCGAAAAATAAAAATTTGTAGGTTTGCTTCAACTTTTTAGAAGAGTTATTCCAGAGCAGCCAGAGCTTTCGTCATCCGAATTTATGACAACATACTAGGTAAGTAAATATAAAAAATGTGTCTTTCGAATTTCCAAGATTTTGAAGTTGCTTGTGATGTACACTTTGAATTCTTGGAGTTTGGTTACTTTTTTGTAGTCCCCTCTTGAGACAATAAAGTGCCCTGTCTCAGTGAGAAAAAGTTCTTGATTTCAGAGACTCAGTTACACGATCACCGCTGACAAGGGAAGGCAGTGGACCCTTCAAAACGTCGTCCGGGATAAAAATTAAGTAAAGAAAGTTTTGAGTTCTTTATACTTTAGCAATTTTATTCTTAATTTAGAAGTTTCCTTAAAATTTCGTGGTTAAGAATAAAAATCTAAGTTTAAAGCTTAGAAACTTCCTGATTTTACTCTTATACCTTTGCAACAAAGAAAACAAGACATTGAACTTACTTGTTCAAGTACAGCCAATTTTTCAAGTTCAACTTCGAGCTTGTGGGGTGATGCAGCTAACTCCCTTTGGGCTGATGGTGACAGCAAGGGAGATTTGCTGACTCCACACTGAGCAAAAGGCGTGGCTACACCTCCTGGAACTGGAGTGGTTGCCCTATTCATAGTGCTAGGGGTAACACTGCCACATCTGCTGGATGGAGCACTAATTCCTGGCTCCCTGGAGACAAACAAAAACCAATGGAAATAGTAAGAAAATAAGTCCTGATAAAAACACTGGGATAATTGGGTGAGTTCAAATAAGCATCTAATTTGGTGTCCCGAGCTGTNTAGTCAAAATAAAGTTTGGTTCGCCCAAAAATTCAGAAAAAAATTTTGGGAGGAAATAGAACCTGGAATTTGACCCTTATTTGAATTCACCCAATTACAGTTAGAGGGGGTCAGGCAAATCATTTTTATAAATTCATTATTTCAAAGTACAGAGTAGGTAAGTCATGCCTCTGGGAATTTTTCGGATTTTGTTTTTCACCCTAAATGGAAAAGAAACCTTGTTTTGAAAATGCCAGAAATTAGAGCTGGTTTAAAACGTTCGATATTTTTGACAAGCTCTGATGGCAAGGCCAGGCAAGGGAAAGGGCGTTTGCTGATTGGCTGAACTCAGCTTCAGGTTTTCCTGTGTTGTGTCAAATTGACTGTCAGATTTTGATTGTTCGGATTTTGATTAGCTTTTTCTTCCCTTAGAAATAATTTGTTGAATTTGTTAATGAACTTATTGGTTTATTCACAAAATTTTACGTCAGAATAACTAAACTACAATCTTGCAAAAATGCCCCTGCTCCCATACCTAAATAAGATGATTCTTCAAAATGTATCAAAGAAAATAATGATTCAGGGATCTTAACAGTCTGGCTTGGAAGTATAATAATGACAAGGTATAGAGCTGGGAATAGAGTGTACACAACAGCTTCAAAGAATTGTGGTACCTTTTAAGATCCCTAAACTATACAAAATCATCAAGTTTTGGAGAGAGCCTATCTCGGAAGATGCCACTACAAAATCTGCGATTTTTCCTCAGAAAATTCAAAAGAACTTAAAAATTTGACCATGTGGCTACTTTAATTTTCAAGACAAAATTTTGTTATTTTCTCCTAAAATTGATCTATCCGTTATTGTTGCTCGTAATATACAATACCTTTCTCCAACTGTAGGAGTGAATACCCATGAATCACTTTCTTCCTATAGCCATCTACAAAACTTGATGAAGGAAGAAGAAAAACAGTAGAAAAAAAAACACCTCCTGCCCCTTATGTTAAACGGAAACTAGCCAAAAACTTTGGGACAGTTCTGAAATCTTTCCTCAAAAATAAGGCCTAAGAAAGTTTTCCATTTTTTATGACTACATGCCTCTCATGCCAGCTGCAGTTCATGAAACCTGGCACAGAGTTTGTCCCTATTGTATTCTACGAGCTTTTGCCAAAAATTCAACTGAGCTGTCATTACTCATCTTGATGTGAGACGCCGACTAATCAACTGATGAGTGTCATGTAGCACTCCGCACACAAATCAACATTCGAAACATAGGCAAAATCCAACTATATTTTACATACTATGTGTTCAGCCGTTACGACTTTGATGAACTGCAAAAAGATTTTTGCCTTCCTACATCAACACTGGTTGTCAATTACAATTCGGATAAGGGTTTACAAGGTTCACCTGACCGGGACGTCAAAATATGGAAACCCTCTCAAACATTTTAAAGAAGCAACTTAAGCTTGCTTCCAGATTATTTTGTATGTATACCAACATCTGAACAAAATTCATCCCAAATTCAAACATATTTGTATTGCAGCAGTAATCCACTTCAATTTTCTCAGGAATTGAACTTGCTCAAAACTTTAACTATAAAATAAGGCCATCATACAAAAGCAACAGTCCATCCGAGGACAGAAATTAAAATAATAAGAAAAGTAAGTGACAGGATTCTACTATACTGAACTCACCACTCACTCTCTAGGACACATCAAAACCCAGCAGGTAGGTAATAAATAGATGGAATAGAGCGGTTCATTTCAAACTTGGCATGTTTCTAGCCATTATCTTCCAATGAACTGCACTTAGTTTTGGCCATAGGAAAAAAAAACGTAAGAGCAGAGCTTGTTTTTTTGTTCTTGCCAACGGTTCATTAGATCTTAATTGTCTCTGTGAGGAGGCTTGCTTTCATTCACTTTACAACCGAGAAATGAGAACAAATATATTTTTACCATCTTGACGAAACAAAGCTGACCCGAGAGGAAACATTTATGGCTTTTAAGTTGGCAGTGGTGATGGAAGTAGTGACGTTTTATTAATGGTCTGAGTAAACAATCCTGCAAGATTATCTACGCCATATTTTGGTGAAAAAAGCTTTATTCACAATATTCACTGCTTCCATGATTCATCTGAGCACTCTGTGACTGTATTTCTTGGAGAAAAGCAAAGCTTGAATTTGAGGAGTCTAATATAGGAATTTTCAAAATTGTTGAAGATGCAGCCATGTCAGGAGTCTTTTTCCATGCACAATTACCCGAGATATCAAAATATTCTACTTGGGTAATTTTAGTGAGTTAAAATTGTAGCATTTTAGATCTACTTTTACTTGAATCAATATCACAGCAGATCAAATTAAATTTTCTGAAATTTTCTATGATCAACATTTGCCAAAATACCCTCCCCCCCCCCAAAAAAAAAGAATATGGGAATTAAATTACTGTAAACTTGGAAACTTTGAGGCCACAGCATTTCTTACGAAGTTCAAATTTGGATTAAACAACCAAAATTAGGAGGGAGTTATCCAATAAACCACTTAACTCTCAAATCTGAGGTGCCTAAATTTTTTCCATGGCATAAACCTTTTTTTGTAGAAAATAGGTGAGCTCTAAAATTTTTCATGGTGATTTCTATGATTTTCGAAAGAGTATTTTACAGGGTTCCCACAGTAACATTTCTGAAAAGTCCAAGACAAGGATTATTATAGTAATCTCGCTAAATGTATTACTAATCCAATAACATACTGGCCTGCCCACTTGCCCAGCACAAGAAAAGAGCCTAATATTAATTGGATTTTCTCAGTTCTTCTGTAATTGCCTTTTTTTTAAAAAAAAAATATGGGTGAGGTTATTATTTTATCTTTCATAAGTATTCTAAGTAATCTTTCACCATTTGCTTCCGTTTAAAAATTTAAGAACGCCAAAAAAATCATCGGACATACCTTTGCACAACCAGTGAGACAGAACTGCCAGCATTTTTGAATAAATTTTGCACATCTATGTGCCTTAAATCACGAGCATCATAATCAGCAACTTTCCGTATTATATCACCACACATGAGCTCACCCTCGGCTGGGGAACCGAAGGCAACCTGCAATAAAAAATGCAACAAGGTTACAGAAAAGTTACCGGGTAAACTGAGTTATTTTAATCTGGTGCTAATTACGAGTATAAAACTGGATTTACTTGCTGCCTGATTTTATTTAAAAGAAAAAAAAAGAAAAAGAAAACAGGAAAACAAAAAAAATACAGAAAGAGTCGTCAGCTCATACTTCTGAAAATTTTTATGTAGCTATTTCTTGTTTACACAAGCGCGTTTTCATGGTGCATTCAGTAAATTCTATGAAAAAAATCATTTAGAGTAGGTATTATCTTTTAAAATAATGAATCTGCAGCAAGCAAATATTTTCAAGTTTAAAATATCATATCAAATGACAATTACCTCCTTATTTTTGACATGGGGATGTTTTACACTTATGTAACTGTCCGCAGTAACAGGGATCTTAGTGTATTACTAAAACACATAGAATTGAAGGATTGATAGCACTGAGTAATGAAATGCTTTTCGAAAATTTTGTCTAAAAAAATTCCCAAAAATATTGTACCAATCCTGATGGCTAGAAGTTTGCATAAGTTAAAAAAAAAAAAAAATTGTTTTGAGCATTGCTAGGATAAGTTCTTATGAGCTATGTTTGGGACTTCAAAGTGTCCGATGAAAATGCAAATTTAAGACCTCTGTGGGAACAAGAATAAACCAAATTTCTTGCAACTCTATGACTAACACAACTGACTATGATATTTTCAAGTGAATACTAGAAACTGCCTAAGACCGATTTGGTTCCATATTTTGGAGTGTTAACTGTCTGAACAAATTTGTACAATGTTCCCCCATACATTAATACCAGTTTATAGATTTGAATTACTTCTGGACTAAAGTCCTTTCATCTGTGGACAATCACAAATAAGAAACAACAAAAAATTGTGAAGAATAAAAAAAAAGTACCCAAGAATTTTTTTTCCTTATTATAAAAAAGCAAATTTGCATATTATATCATTTGTTTTAGGTGCTGATGAAATTCCTATACCAGAATTACAATGACTAAACGATGGATACCTGGTGTTAATGAGGAAAAAAAATTTGGGAAATAATGCAGAAACAGGGTTTGTAAAAAAGATGATTAAAAAATTAGAAATTGATGAACTAATCAATATTATGATCTTAATGCTTACTTTCGTTACGACTATGGGAGTGTCAACATCTGCACCACCTGCAACTCTTATGCCCCATGGACGTGAAACACCATCTCTGTGCAAAGTAATCGTAAATGTGTTGGGAGCTTTGACCGGAAAGAGGCTCATTCTAAACTTTCAAACTTGACAGCAAAAAAGATCAAAACCACACGGCCGTCTTAAACTTCAAATTGAAACTAAAAAGAAACATATTTGTTGATCAACAAATACAGCAACAAAAAACTTAACATGATTGAAAGTACAAAATTCTGCAGGGAAGAGGACACCCAAAAAATCGAACGAAGTTTAGAACTAAAGAATGTCGATAATTTTTTTTTTTTCTGTAAGCTTTTGCTGAGTTTTTTTGGAAGGAAGTAAATTGAAGGATGATACAAGAGAGAGTCGAATTCTGCCGTAATCCACCCACACAGAGGCACACTAACACACTGAGGGGGAAATAAACAAATAACTAGCTCGATATTACAGTTTAATCATTCTGTCTAGCTAGCCAACACATGCTAGAGATGCACTAATTCCCCTCTGCGGCATTTCCCTCTTTCTATCTTTGTCTTTCCTCCTGCTTAATTGAACTCAGTAGCTGACCGACTCTCCACAGAGCAGCATGTTTGTCTGCTCTACTACCCACTTCAAAAATATTCCTAGCAATCCCATCAATTTCGCTGATTATGTGCAAAAGTTACTTGCCAAGGGTACATTTTATTCCCTCACAATTATATTTTCTCTCATTAATTCTTCATTTGTTCTTTAGGAGAAAAATGATCATTTGAAAAATAGAAAAAAATTGGGCAATACATATTCAATATTTCTATAAGAGGTTGATTTGAAGGTAGGTTTTCCTCCGATTACTAAAGGTGTTGCTTTAACCCTCCCTACCTTTGCTTACTGATGCACCTAAATATTCCAAAAAGTACGTAAGTCTGACATACTCCCTCCTTTCCATTTTTTATAGGATGAGAATGGAAGGAGGACACTTACATTTTTTTCCTTCCTTCCTTCTTTCTTAGACTTTTCAAATTTTTAAACAACATGTGCTCTCAGCTCTGCATTAAGGAGGCTTAACCTTCCCCCTCTATCCTACCCTCGCTATCAGGCACCTGTCATAATTTATAGATCACAGAAGCGTCATCTGTAAAGGTGTTTTAAGAACCAAAGAAAATAGAATATTAATTACTTACAGCTAAAAGTTATGAGTTGAGGTGGATGTGAGTTATTGTGAGCCATCAGGTGACGTCGACTGATGTCAATTTACTATGATGTACATTCTGATGACCTGGACTCATTTTAGACAATTCATCTCTGGAAAAACTTCGGCTCTGTAATGGGAAATTATTAAATAATTACTTGGATGCACAATAATATCGGGACAGGAATATTTGGTTGCTTATGAGTGCATATTTTTTCTCTTTGGAACATTGAGTGAATAGAGCTTCATGATTGAGACAGAGGTAAAAGAAAAATAGAAGAATAGAATGATTTAATTTATTGATAAAATCAATTTAAATGCAAAAATGTTTTAATTTGATAAAGATTTAATGAAAGAGAGAGGGGGGAGGGAAATTTTTTTTTTTTCAAAATTAAATGAAATGGAACCACCCCCCCCCCCCCCAACACATTGATTGAAAAAGTGAGAGTGAACAGGTTGTTGGAGGGAAACTTCAAATCAATGGAATAAATGTAAACAATAGTCAATGTTTCTCACATGGGTAGTAATGAGGGGATTAAATTTAGACCTGGCACTGAGCCTCAGTATGAAATAGATAGTTGGGATTTGGACTCATACCAGCTCCAGATACACACAGTACGATTATTTCCCTGTCTGCATGATCCCTTTTTACTGCACATTAATCCCTCGTTTAGAAACAGCAAACAAATAGGGTGGTCGAATTTGGGATGTTTACATTTTTTCATCTTGTCCTTCTTCACAGACAAATTATATTTTGTTCAAAAGAGCAAAAGCAAAACGAAGTTATTTAAATTCAGATATAATCTTGAAACCTAGTGCAAGAGTCCCATCTCTACCTATGCATCTTCTTTAATTTAGGGAAACTAAGAAGTTCCGAGCACCTGAAAACCCTCACCTAAGCTGGTAATTTAGTTACCTATTATGTTGCCCTTTCCCGTTTCCTTTGTTTCATGTTGCCCTTAGAGAAAAACTCATAGATCTACTTACAATTACAATATCATATCGCACTTCTTGAAACACACACAATACAAAAATGAACGCACTGAATTAATTCACATCAACTTTGAACGAAAAATTACACAAAATTAATCTGCAGCTTAAGTCAGGAAACTAATAAACCATAGTGCAGTAACAACAAGTGTAAGTCACTTGGTTAAAATTTGAATAATTTTGTAAACTTCAGTTCTTGAATAGTGATTACAGCTCAAGTAACTTTTTTATGATCTAAACTATAGTATCATCAAACGTGTATTAATATTCTATTACTTTTGGAGAGAACTTGCAACGTTTGTCAGTAGCGCAGAGCAAAAGGGTCCTTTAGGTTCGAGAGTTCATGAAAAAAACTGGCCTGCAGCCCCGTTGCGTATTACACAAATTTTGAAGTTCCACAACTCACATAGAGCAACAGGTGTCATTACAAAATTTCCTCACACATATGAAAGAGTTTCTCCTATGAATACAGAGAATGTAAATAAAGCAATTAATTATTTTAAAAGTGTTGGTGATTAACAGTTTGCTCCACGCTTTGTGGGTATAATGTATTTATATAAAGAACTACCAATAACAGTAATTCAACTAATTTTTTTTTCAGTAATAGTAAACATTTGCTTGTTTATCATGAACTTCATAAACTCTAGAATATTTCAGCAGTTGATGTTGATTGGTTTTAACTTTAAATCAATTTAACATGAGGAGGAATGCTGAGCAAAAATGTAAACACTTTAAGTTTCTAACTTACAGAGAATGAATTGATTTTTTACAACATCGCAAAATTACTGAGGATAGCTTATTTATGTGGAAATGGATGGCTGAGAAAATTTTCGAAAAGAACACATAATGCCAGGGGGGCCCGGCTCCCCATAGAATTGAAAATTATCATCTGCCCCCTCAAAAAAAAATTTATAAATGTTTTGAATGCAACAATTCGAAAGTTTTTGGTGCTGAAAGTAAACGAAAAGGCGTAATTATTCTGCAGAAATTGATGGAAAATCTCCATCATAAGAGCTTCATAATGCGTCCAAATAGATTTAAAATTTCAAAAATTTCCCGGGGGAGGCCCCCCGGACCTCCTCCCCCCCCTGTGCTAGGGGCCCGGGCCAGAAAATTGGTACCAGGGCCCGAGATGGGATGTGGCGGGCCTGCATAATGTACTTCTTACAACTGACCGAATTCAGTAAAATTTCTTGGGAGATTTTCTGAGTTGTACAGCTATGCAAAAATGAGCTGGTCATGACAATTTTGAGAAGTTTCGATAGACTCATCCTGCATACAAAGAGTCAATTCAAAGATAAACAAAAAGCAGGTTCAAATTCACCAATTACTATGATTTATACATTATCGCTTACAAACTTTAAGCCCCTTGCATCCTCACTTAGTGTCCTTGAAATTTAAGTCTGCAAAAGGAAAGAAGAAAGTGAGTATGAGATGTTTTGGAGGAGCCAGTATTTTTTGTAAAGAAACAACGCTCCTGAAAAAGATCTGCCCAAGATGTTTCTTCAGGATATTGAAAGAATCAAATTTTAGATACTTCATTGATCATTCCTGAAATAAGACCCAAGAAAATTGACACTTTCCTCATTTGTACTGTTATTTTTTGACTTGACATGCTGATCTTGGAACAGTAGTTCTGATGACTAAAGCAAAATGAAATCATAGCCTGTGTTTAATTGTAAATGAATATTAAATTTATTAAATAGAGAGAAAATATAAATGGAAGAGAAACAAATTGAATATAAAAACATGGAAAAAATCTTAAACTAGGAAAGGAGCCATATTAGCATGGTTTATAGTTTATCATAAATCCTTGGACGGAGTAACCTCCTCTGGATTTTAATGGTAAATATATTGAGGTAAACAAAAACACTGGTGGGTATTGACTTATCTTCTTAACGAACTATTCAACAAAATTTGAAAAAGAAAAGAGGGAAAAAATTTAATGAACTAATAAAATTTTTCCCTTCCACTCCCTTTTTCTTTTTTTCTAATAAAGAGTGAAAAAGAAATACCCGGAGTCATGCATTAGAATCTACTACTTCATGACAATGAAAGGCAGAAAATAATTCATCATGACAAAGCTCAATGGTCAAATGAAAATTAAAAAATATTTTCAACGATTTTTTGTAGAAATAATTAACAATAAATTCTCTTTCAATTGAAATGCAAACAAAAATAAAAAATATTAAAGAAAGGTCATAATCTGTAAGGCTGCAATCTCTATGAAAAGTTCCAATGTTAAGAGAGAAGCTTTGAAAATTTCAATTCAACACTTCATGTCCAATGTTAAGGTATGAGAATATAAAAACTTAACTTTAAATTAGAAATACAAACCATGAAACTTAATCAACAGAAGACAGTGAAAAGTTTCAATACCTGAAGGGGAATAAAAAATATAGTGACAAAAATATTTCTGAGAAAATGAGAGTGCTTACATAACTGGAATGAAATTATGTAGGCAATTTCTTTTACACATGAGAACAATTTATGGTTAAATTTGAAAATGAGTCTCAGTAAACCCATTTGCTCATCTGATCTAACTTCATTTGACAAAGTTGGGATCATATACATAATAGAATTTAATACATTTCAAGAGAGTTAGGAGCCATCAGCATTCTTCAAAATTCCTTGTAAATTTGCAGCATTTTAATTTAGACAAATTTTTGAAAATGTTACAGCATAATGCTACTTAAGATTTCTTGAGATAAAAGAAAGAGACAATTTGTCGTTTTCCAGATAAAGGAACATAACTCCATTCCAAGCTTGGAGAAACTGACTCAATCCATTCAGTTTTTCTTGAAAGTACGACTGTGCACTGTCAGTTTGAAATTGTGCTGTTTTTCTCAGTGACTAGAAGAAAAATCACTGGTATTTTCAGTCCAAACTTCCCAGGAGTTACCCAATGAAAATAAAATTAGCAAGTCGAAATTTGCGAATGTAGTTACGTCCTTTCATCTGGGAGACAACAAACTATAACAAAAAAGAGATTCTATTAGATCCTGTTTTGGCTAAGTTTACCTTTTCTATGGTCTTAGCAGATACTATTACTCTAATTTGAGCAGGGTAATAAAATGGTGAACTTATCTGAAACAAGATCTAGATCTTAGTTGTTGGAACAACAACCTACATGTAACCTACATGTGTACCATGTGCCATGTGTACCTACCATGTGTTGTTACCATGTGTTCGTGTAATTTATGACTTAAAAATAACGTTAATGTAAAAATATAAAGATGGCAGCATTTCCACCAGCTAACTTAAATTTTGAACAATAATAAGATATGTATGGGGTTTAAATGAAAAATTAAATGAAAGTGGTAACAAGTCCTTCCTGAGAGCTCAAGACCAAATCATCTACCCAATAAAAACTATCAGCACCCAAAAAAGGCTGCCTAGGTGCTTAGGCATGACATTTTCAAACCCTAAAGGTACTTGAAAAACATTTACTCGTTCTAAAGTAACAGACACTAGCTGTGAGACATTTGAAGATCCTTGTGTTATCCTCATACACCTTAAATATACAATTATAAAAATAATTCCTGACATTCATGAGATGCTTAAAAGTTAAAGGGAAAGAATCAAAATTTCTGACAGTATTAAGTATTCTGGATGATACTTATTTTCCAAGAATAAGCTCACAATAAAATTATGAATCATACCATAACTAAACAAAATGTGAAACAGCATCTACGATGATACCCAATGAGTATGGGTGGCTTGTGACTCGTGGTTTACCATTATCCATTATTTCAGAAAGGTAATCTTCTAGACCAGACTGCCCTCCTTCATTATACCAGATACTGCGAAGTTTGCTCATTGTAAGGCCAGCTTCAGCCATCCTCCTCAGCATATTATAACTGACGCCGTGATTCATCAATTCAGTCATGGTGCTAAGTCTCTGTTTGGTTGCGATTCGAGCATTATCTTCTTGAAGCTGCACAGAAAATCATCAAAAAATTTATAGAGTCTTAAGATCTAGAATTGTAGACCATAAAATAATGGGATGATAAAAATTTAATTAAGTAATAGAGATAAAATTTCAGGAGAGACCTCTTAAAATCGATTTGTGAGCTACTGTACATGTTTTTATACACCATTCACATAAAATTAACATCGCCTAGTGTGGCTTTAAACAAAACAAAAAAAACAAAGAGGTCTCTTACACAGTGTAATTTGTTCATGGCTACAGTTGTAAAATGCGTAACTCAGATTGCGCTATTGTACATCTCCACTCATGTGTTATTTCTTTTAAGGGAAAGGAATCAATGTTTTCACTGAAAACCATGACTTTTCTACTGACATATATTCTAAAAAAATCGCACAGAATTACAGGAAAACATTTTGATTAGTTTTCCTCAAAGAAAATACAACAGACTCAAAGATTTTTAAAAGTTGCAGTTGAGAAACACATTTTTGTTTTAGGCTATTTATGTAGATGAAAATGTAAGCTTGACCAATTGTCAAGAAGTTTTCATGATGACAAAGTATCAGTTTTGGCCCTTAATTTTGGTTTTGAATTGCGAGTAAATTGAGAAAGAAGATTTAAAATAGGTTCCTTCAAAAAATTTGCCAAGCTAAAAGTTAGATCAGGTCCCCAGTTTGTTAAATAAGCGATTCTACTGAAGATTTTTCCAAGATTAGAGATTTTGTAACGAGGTTTGTAGACCTTTCTATCTATAAATGCATTGATAATTGAAAAAGGAGGCCAGGTCGAAAATTGTGAAAAACTGTGTTTTCCACAGAAATTTACTGCTGATGGACGGGTAAATTAGCTCCTAAATGCTTAAAGCTGGCCAATGATTTCAAAAAAGGTCAGTGGATCTCCGGGAAGATGGCCTCGTTTTGAAATTAATAGACATTACTTTCCAGTCAAGAAAATAAAGAAGATATATTTTCCTTTCTTTACGTGGCAGTTCCTGATAGGTCTTGATTTTCCTGTTAGCCTTGGTTAGACTGAAAACTGTACAGTAGGTTGAACAACTAAAAGCAACTTATAATATTGTTGTCTTTTTCATTTAAATTTTTCAATTCTATGCCATGCAATAATAGACAGTCCTTTGTCAAAGTAAGGTAGAAACACTGAGATGATATTCATCAGGAGCAAATTTTAAACAATTCAGAAATCCTCAATTATTTCCGCAAAAATTTCAGAACTAAGCTTCAGAATTGCTGATAATTTAACTCCTCCATTTCAGTCTTTCTCCTTTACCTCAGTTCTGGCAAATATTATTCTGGTGTGGTGATGTTTAGTTTTGCTCTAAATTTTCCTACTACAAACACTCACAGTTGATAAAATATTCAGTCTCAAAATTTCACTAACCCGTTGCACTCTGACCGGTCTTTTCGCTTTAAGTAAGGGTAAAGAAGAAAAGATTGCTCCTTTTCGGAATGGGTCATTTTCAAATTTTGCTGGAGTAAGAAAAAAGCTACGTTCCATGTGAAAATGGTTCAAAAATCATAAGGAGCCCACCTGGAAAATCTAAAAGTCACTCCTAACTTCACAATATGCAGAAGAAACTTCCTTATTTGTAAGAATCCTACTTTAAACAGCGAAGACATGGTTTTAGACAGACAAGTTGCCCTGGTTTTCAAGATTGAAGAAACTAAAGTGACACGTCTGGCGGGATGCTTACCAATGTGCAAAGTTCTTACTCTGATTGTGAAGTTTGAGGTATCGTGATTTTTGAGTCGTGTGTCAAATGAAACAACTCTTCTTTTTCCTCTATCAATAGTTAGCAACAGTCCCATAATCTATTCAAACATTCTGATGTGAATGGAGTATCAAAAGTAGATATTAGTAGCTTATAGTCTGTCCAAGATAAGAAGAACCCTGAGTAATCAGAATTAATTGCTCTATTTTGCAGAGTGGGAGTATCTCAACCCTCATCAACAGTCACCTTATCACAATTTGCGGACGTTGCAAAGGAGGCCAACACAGTCCACTCTCGGCGGTCTTCTGAGGCTCAAGCCAAGAGCATAAAGCTCCCAGTGCTAGGCGCCATGCGCCATGCTTGGCAACTTATGACCAGCCCTCTGTAAAGTGTGGCTCAATGACTTCACCACTAAGAATGGCTCAAATGCTACCTTGCTTCGACACAGAGCAAATGATCCAGATTTTCCACAGTTCTTTCCGTCTTAGACAAACCATGGAGTGGAAAGGTCAGAACTAAATGTTTTCAGTTACCAGATATCTTCACCTTCTAGCCAAAGTATCACAAGTACCATTCGTGCCAAGGCACTTTGAGGCCGAACCTCTCAAACTTGTCCAATTTCTAAGAAAGAAACTAATAGACAGAATCACTTGAAAATGTTTCATCATACATATTTTTTAATCAAGATTAATCCCTGAAATTGTTAGGAAAATATAAGCCAAAGCTTTAATGAAAAATGAATAAAAATATTTAGATGTCCAGTAACATAGCGTCCAATTGTACACTAATGCTCATGGCACTTAGGTCGGAAGGTGACAAAATTGCAAGAAAACTCTCTGGAAGCACCATTATTTCCCATATAATGTTCAATCTTCAAAATTTTGCATCTTGAATCTCAGGATAATATAGCTACCAAAATTTTTTTACACATATATAGAGCCCCTCCTAAGCATATTGAGGTGGGGAATAATTTCATTTTTCCAAAAATGTTAGATACGACCCTTTTACTCAAAGTTTCTGCTATGATCATTCACATAGGTATTACAGCATTTTAAATTTCCACAGTCCATCTAGTTAGTTTATTTGATAGAAGTGACTGTGTTGTGAGGTATGCTGCGGAGGAAAAAAAAGTTTTGCTCAAGAGTATAAATACTGGGAAAAAAGGTACAATTACTGACATCCAATGGAGTAAATTACAATATATTTCAACATACCAAGTCGTCAAAAGATTCGGCATGATCAGAAATATAGTCTTCTAGTCCCGTTTCATCAAATATTGTGGACAGGGCAATGCAATCACAAACAGCATCATGCTCAAGAAAGCCTCCGCCAACAATCTCTTCGTGAATATATCCTAGTTTGTGGTTCGCCAAATAGGGCAAGTGTTCCCTAAAAAGGGGCAACGTATCCGAAAAGCCTTCGATTACAGATGAGAATGGACCAACCAGGTTGCAAGACTTTATGCCTCTAAAAAGATATCGGCAATCGAAGTTAAAAATGTTGTGACCAGTGAGGGTTACAGCTCCTCCAGGCAAATCATTCAAATAATCCCAGAAGTCTATGAGGGCTGATTTGAGACCCACCGTTGATCGATAATCACCGTTTTGATAGAGCTGCCCATTGATCAACTCAAACCCATTATGCTGGGTAGTTCCTGGGGGAATGTCTTTTTTTGGCAAAATGTACCTGTAAGGGATATGGAACATTAGTATACTGAAGTATGTACTTGGGTGAAAAAAAACAAAAAACAAATGGAAATGTACGAGGTGAAAAAGGAGTCCATGACGTTCATACTCCAGAGACATCACTTTAATCTGTTGTTTTACGAACACAATGGATGATTACCGATGAGGGGTGCAATTTCTTATGAAACTTAGGTACTTAGATGTACAATCAAGGGTGCACGGCTTTCCTCGAAAACTGCCCACTTATTGCCATGTTTCAATTCTATCTGATGAATTTACTTTGATAAAAAGAAAACAAACAAAGAAGCTTATTTGATGATTTCAAACAAAAGACACTACAAGTGTGGCTTGAATACAGTAAGTAACAGGATGGAAGAATAATGCTAGACCCACAGTACGTACTCTGCAGGGAAATCAAAGCCAAACAATTCAAAAAATTATAGTTAGAGTCACAAAATGTGCTTTAGTATCACTGGAAACTACTTGGACTACTGCCTGAGCTGAACGCTCCCCCAACCACTTTCAGTTTTCCACCGAGATTCTTTAGAGCTCGTTTCAAGGCTCTAATTATAATTTTTGGAATTTATTGATTTCTCAATATTTTATTTTGAGAGTAGTAGAGAAATGATGGGACATTTATATTGAAAATGGGGCCGTATTATAATATAAGTAATAAATACAACAGGATTATGTCGTGAGCAAAACAAGAAGAGAAGAAGTTGAAGAGACATGTAAAGGGCACTACTGCCATGGAATTCATGTTCCAATGCGCTGTACCAATTCATGTACTATCTATTTAGACTTTCATGCTATGCCTACAAATGCTTGCTGAAAAGTGTATCAATCGGACAGTTCTTAGATAGCATTTCAAAACTGGATTTTGAAATGAATAGATTCAAAAAGAAAAAGTCCGAGACATTTTAGCTAAAAAAGAAAATAGTCAACAAGAAAATCTATTAGCCTCCCTTCAGTAAAGTCTTAAATAGACATTATAGCATTTCCTTCTTGCTCTGACTTCGCATTAAGGTTTCTGCCTACGATAAAACCAACATCACTTTGAGCAAGAATACCACATTTCATAAAGAAAGCTCCATTTTAAGCTTTAAAAAGCCAGTAGTGCTGAGTAGGCTGTAAGAAACATTAAATCAAATAGTATCGAACTTTGGCCAGCGCTGACTTTCTTAGTATTGTGTTTTTAGTCCTTTATCTGCATTGTTGTAGCAGCAGATTTCAATGACACTGATTCTTATGAATTTTGTTCCTTGAAATCATTTCTTACCGTTCAAATGCATCATTTGTATCTGGATCATAAGCACCAATTTGAAGGATCTCTGCTCTATCGGAGAGACCAGACGTTTCCAAGTCAAAATAAACCACCCTGCTCATTGTTGTTCCCTGGAACCCATTAAAACGAGAGAAGTTAAGTGATCAAAATACTTGCAAAGTTTCTTGAAAAGTATAATACTTATCAGTTATGTATCATGCATATTAGTGGAATCGAACGTTTGTTTAAAAAGTCATAGATAAAAATTAAATCAAGTTTGCAATTGGAAAAAGTAAATTTTCCTCTGACTTAATAGGAATGAGCTAATAATGTAGAGGTAAGAAGAACTGAATAGTTTAAAATAAATAAATTAGGCTCGCATAATTTTGGATAGAATTATGGTATAAAGTGAGTGTTTGACAACCCTGTTAGTTAAATGATATTGTCCATCTACTATTAATGAAAATTGAAATGAAAGACATGTTGGAAAAAAATTGTAAGAATGAACCAATGAATCGATGCCTTTTTTCTTCTTTTTTTAAATTTTCAAACTTATCACTGAAAGCACTTTAGTTTTATGCACTGTTCTATGGAACTGAAAACTTAATTGATACTTTGGTCTTGTTGAAGACCTTAACCTTTGGTTTGCTAGTGCTCTGAGGTATTGTTGCATTTTTATCAATGATTCATTTCCTGATATTGTCAATAATTGCGGTCCTTTTCATTGGTGATTATTTTGAGATGATTCAAATACAGCCTGCATACAATCATGAACCCATTACCTACTCTCATAGGTAGGTAAGTACAAATAAAGTTTTACTTTCGGAAATTACATATACATCATATACTATGCAGCCTAAAATATACAAATTTTGGATGTCTGGGGGGGGGGAGGCACCCCCAAAAATTGGGGGCTCCTGGGGAGACAAATTCATGCATTTTGAACTTATGCAATTTCAGAGATTTTGAACAGTTCACAGAATGGAGATATTGCATGTGTGAGGAATTCGCGATTTGACTGTTGCTTCTTATGTAAAAGTTCGCGAGAAACACGATGGTGCCACTGGTTTTCTCTGAAATCAACTCCCAAGCTCAAAAAAAGCTCTCAAGTTGAGGCCAAAATGGAGGGAATATCCCACGCTATCCTGAGAGTCCACCTCTACATCAAGACAAACTCTCCATGCAAAGATAGGGAGCAAATACATTAGCAGGGTTGCCGTGTTTTCAGTTTTGGAGTCCCCAAACAAAGTGGCAACCCTGCTAATATATTTGCTCCCTATCTTTGCATGGAGAGTTTGTCTTGATGTAGACGTGGACTCTTAGGGTAGGGTGGGATATCCCCTCCATTTTGGCCTCAACTTGTTTTTGAGCTTGGGAGTTGATTTCAGAGAAAACCAGCGGTACCATCGTGTTTCTTGCGCACTTTTACATCAGAATCAATGGTCAAATCGCAAATTCCTCACACATGCAATATCTCCATTGCAGATGGATTGTTTACTTATCAAAGTCTGCACTAAGAATATGATATACAATCTATGTATAGCATTGGTACCCCTCGTCCTAGCCCACACCCTCAAAGTTCGTGTGTAAAAACTAGTAGGGGGGGGGGGGGTATTCTCAAATGCAAAGCCTTTGGCAGCTCCTGTTACATTATCGCCTGCTCTGCTGGTTCTGACTTTTACAACACCTTAATTTCTTAACTGCCTTAAAAAAAAGGTGTTGCAATAACATCAGTAAAAAATAAATATGCTAACAACCTGGGGTCAAAATGGGAAGAAGAGCGCTCTGAACTCAAAACCGTGTTTTTAAATATTTTCCGCCCTTGGGACCACTGCTTTTTTTCTCCACTATCATAACAAAGGAAGGAGTGATTGCTCCTTCGTCTAGTTCTCCTGGGTGTACCAACACTTTGAGTGGAACTGGGTGAGAATAGGGAGAAGTTTTAATCTTGAGACATCTTCTAAGAGAATTTTACATTGTAAAAGAAGTAGTGAATAACGACGGCATTGCAGTATTGGCAGCAAAGGTGGGACTTCACATTCCTGAGACTGAGTTCAAGCGCAGTGGTCTGAGTGCTTAAAATAGCTCATAGGTGGACACAGAGCAAAAGCAGCGAATACTAATTCTTATCAATTAACATCTGGTCATTGATCAAGATTAAAGGTCTATTAAAAGATCAGAGGTGTCAATGCAAAGATAATCACCTTGACTTACGTTCTGACTCACTTTAATGTGCGACCACAAGATTTGAAGTGAGTAAGCTATACCCCTGCCAGTCCTTTTTCCATGTAAATGGTATCGATTTATTGACAAGCTCATGAGGAAAATGAAAGAGGATCTATGGTGATCAAGCATGTTATCTAGTGCTTAAAGGACCTAAATAATGGGTAATTTGCAACTACTGATGAGGAATGCAACACCTTGTAAAATCTTTTGGAAGTAGCATTTTTAAGCATAAAAAAATACAAAATAAAAAAATCAGGAGAGACATTAAATGCTTAAATTAAATTTTAAAAAATTATGCTAGAGAAGCAAAAAATTATTATCCCCTCCCCCCCCATTTTTTCCTCATTTCCCAGCCTTCATAGTTTTGAGATTGCAGGTACTGTCAGCCTTTGACCTCTTTTTTCTAAAATCTACATACACTGCTGAATCTCTCATACTCTAAATACATTTTTCAAGGTTACCTACATTGATGATTTCCAAATATTACAGAGGCGAAACATAGAATAAGAGGCATGATGAGTCTTGTAAAGATAACTTTTCACTTGAAGAAGGAAAGCCCCTTCAAATTCAGTGTTAAAAAGGAGGAGGGCCTCAATAATTTTCCAGTATTTCCCACAAGTGATTTTCATACGCGAGGTCAAAGTGTCTTCACTACTCACTAGCCAGATGCCCGGAAATGTCATTACCTCATTGGACTTGATGCGAATTTCGTTTCTTCAAAGATGGCAGATGTCCGACACAATTTTCCTGGGACTCAATTTGCTTCATTCACTACCTGTGAAGCCTTTATTTTGCATGGGGTACGTGGCTTGGACACGAACGAGTTGATGGAGAAGATTTTGGAGTGCCAATCGTTTTAGCTGACAATGAGTCTTAGGGTGAAATGGAGGAAGGGGCATTACTGCTTGCTAATAGAGGTAAAACTTGAGAAAATATCCATAAATTCTCTAAAATTGACCAAAATGCCTCTCTGAAACTTACCAAATCCTTCGATTCCTCAGTTCCTCAAACGACGAGAGCAGAGTTTGTCTCCTCAAAATCTGAAATTTTTTGAGCCCTGAAAAGTACCTTGGACTCCCACTTAACTTGCTACCTCGAAAACTTATCTGATACTGATACTGCTGACTGGTCAGTGCGACGCTGAAGCTTCGCAAAAACGCAAAAACTCGGGGGGGAGGGGGGTTGACTGTCAATCTAGTGCAGTGACACCTTCGTGCGACAGACTTTGCTCACGCTGGAAGCGTTGAAATCTTTCAAAAATGAAAATACTATGNGAGAGGAGATGGTGCGGTGCATCAGGCTGAAAGTAACAATAAGTGCTCTGCTGTGCTAAGGAAAAACGCCGTAAGAACATTCGAGCGTTGCCACATTTCCTCCAATATGATGTTTATTTTTGAGGACAGTTATCAATATTTCCTCTTAAAATTTTCAGATGATATAGATCTAATTACAAAGAACATTCCCTGAAAAATTGGACGGAAAATTTTCACAAGTTTTTCTGAAAATTCGTGTTCGATCAACGGAAATTTGGCGACTGACGAAGGTTCATACGGCGTTTTTCCTTGGCACGTGCTAAGGAAAAACGCTGTATGAGCCTTCAGACAGTGCCAAATTTCCTTGGACAAATCGCAAAATTCCGGGAAAATGTGCAAATATTTTTCCTCGAGTTTTTCGGAGAGTTGGATTCGTAATTTGATCTAAGTGTCTGAAAATTTCAAGGTAAAATATGCATAACTTTCCTAAAAAATACATGCTTTGTCCGTGGAAATTTTGGCACCTCTCGAATGTTCATACGGCGTTCTTCCTTAGCATGGCAGTGTGGAAAGCTAAATTTCTCGCTGGGTCATCGTCCAAGTCAGGTACGCAGCATAACGTCATCCGAGCTGCAATTGCAACCGAGGCGGTTTATGTTTTCCAAACATCTCAGCTTATAATTACGCGAATCTGTGCGTCCGCATTTGACGCTTAGAACATCGCGAGAATACCGGAAGCTCGACGGGTCAGCGCTCTTTTCCGCCTCATCTACCGTGCCCGCCACGGCACAAGTCCAGCCGCCGCACCGCGTTGCCAATTTTTTGTGGGGTCCGGGCCCACTTATAAGTACAAAATTTGCAAGTAAAATTCTCCAAAGGCGCTAGTCTCTGTCTTTTTGAGTAAGGTATGTACTAATCCTGATCGATCAAAGCCCCCCCCCCCATTTGTTCGCTTTCATCTGACCCTTCCTAAAAGTTGCGTTTGCAAGCTGAGCTTTTTCCCTAACCAATTTTTGAATAAAGAAAAAATTAAAAAAAATAAACTCGATAAAAACCATCAAAAGAACGTGCCAGCGGGGGAGGTGTGCATACGACGCATTTACTCGTATTTAACACATTTGTTGGGAAAGCCCTGTCAACACTACTAGCAAAAGTTCACGAAACTTTGCGCGAAGGTTAAGTTCCGTAAACCTATCTCTGTGTGGACAAGGCCTTCCATTCATTAGAAATGAACGAAAAAATTGTGAAAGAACAAACATAAATGTGGTTCAATGATTTCAACTTCCACCGCCGCGCCGCGCAGACCGCACCGTGTTGGACGCAATGCGTGAAGTATTCACGCAGTCTTGTAGGCGCTATGCGTTTCACGCTGACCGCACTATGTTTGGCGCAATGCGTGAAGTATTCATGCATTCTTGTAGGCGCTATCCGCTTCACGCTGACCGCAATGACCGCACTGTGTTTGATGAAATGCGTGAAGTATTCGTGCAGTCTTGTAGGCGCTTGTCTTGCAGTCTTGTCCGATCGCCGCGCCGAGGGCTTCTCCTTTTCATCTCAAGTCCTCATTATCATTTCTCTCTAAGTCGCGCTACTACTACTACTACGTTCCAGGCCAAATTGCGTGTTTGGTCTCTCTCTTAACTCGACTTATTGAAGTTGCTGTCTCTTGTATCACTAAGAGACGACAAAATTAGAAATTAATATACTGTCAGGAAATGAGAGATTTTGTCGCCTTTTCTCGTTTGTAATTTTGTTTTTATACTTAAATCCGATTTTATTTATACCTAAACTTTTTTTTTTTTTGAGTTTTGTGGCTTCTATTCCTTACCTACACTTTAAAAAATTGCAAATTTCTGCCGCCCCTCAGATTTGCCGCCATGAGCCGCGGCCCATGTGGCCACCCTTCTAATTCGGCCCTGTGCTTAAATGCTAATTTTCTTTTTTTCTTCCTCTTTTCTACTGTTCAATTTTCAGATTGCAGTTGTTTGCAGCCTTTTACCGGTTTCAGCTCAGGCTCCTCGCCTTCCCTTTGCTGTTGACGAACTTTTGAGCTGATGGCACAAATTGACAGTGAAACTCCCAAACCATGTATCTTGTCTGCAATTTTTTCAAAGTTTCCATTTCTGTTTTATTTTTTAAAAGAAGGAATAGTCATTATCATTCCTTAAAGTTATCACAGAATATTCTCTGTAGGTACAGAGCAAAAAATCACCGCAGTTCGTAAGAATTGCTGTTGAGTAGTTTTCAATTTAAAAAATAGAGTAGGACAGGAATTCTGCGGTGTCGCAAACCTGATTTAGGAGTTTCAACATCCATATACAGTACTGACTGCATTCTGATTGAGGGTGTATGCACAGTTGCACAATAACATTTTTCGTAGGAAAACTGTACTACAGTTTATCTTGAAGTTTTCTTCTCTTATTTAAGGACAGTCACAATGAATTTCAAAGAGATATTTTGGTCAGTTTTCTTTTAAAATTAAGTGAATTATAGTCTAAGATTTTGAAATTCTGTAATGGAGATACATGTTTTTCAACTTTAGCCATCAAGATGTTAAATGCTGGCTAAGGGAACTGGAAAAAATGCAAGGCTTGCTTTAGACTGTTCCTCAATTACGTAGGTATCTTTGGGGGGGGGGGGGGGGGGGGGTAGTTCAAAAATAATGCATGACGTGTTGGCTGACTTTTGGACCCTGATTCCCTTCTTGGAGGCCACCCATATGACAACCCCTCACCCCCATTGGAATTACATACGACTGGCCTGATCATCTCTCCCTTCCAATTTCTCATGTGTCCATATTCATTAAGTCGTCAAAGCTGTTTTTTTCTGGATGTGCAAACTGTTCCACAAGATGATGCAAAAAAGGGTGAAATAATGCCCAAAACGCACATCGCCTTACTGTATGTTCCAGTTTATCGGATGTAGAAAGCAAGTAAACTATGTAATAGTGCACCCCCATCAAGTTGCTTACAGATTTTCAGCTTGTGAATCAAGAAGTGTCTTCATATTGACAGTGAAACTCCTAAACCATGTATCTCCGTTTGCAATGTTGCTGACTTCCTTCCGCAAGAATAGCCATCGAGTGGTTTTCCATTGAAAAAATAAAATACTTATGATAAGAAATCTGCACCATCACAAACCTAGATACGTGGTCTGGTAGTTTCACCATTGATATATGGTTTCAGAACAAACAACGTCAATATTGTCCTCGACAATTGAAATGATGTATTGAGCTGTTAGGATCGGCAAGAATTGTACATCTCCATTTGCTAAGTAGTTCGCTACATATAGTTGATGTCATATAGTTTGTCCATTTGCTAAAGAGCTTTAGCATTTGAAGCTGTCACAACTTTTCAGCAAGAAACAGATCGCTTACTTGCGATTAGATTGAGAGCTCCTTCTGGAATTATGATGAAGAAAGGAAACGCAAGCAAGCGAGATCCTGAAGATGCATTGATATGATTCTCTGAAGAAATTAGGGTTGTCGATACTTAACTGATACTGCGAAAGTATCAATACTTTTGATCGTTACTTGACATCAATACTCAACAATATCGATACCATGTGGTGTCAATCCTCAGACCCCACTATTGATGATATCGATGCTTAATCTAATTTGGCCATGAGGAAGGCCTCTTATTCTTTAATAACAACTTCTCTCTCTTCTGTTTCACCTTCACTATGTGCTGTGACAAACGACAGAGTAATCAAGTTTCTCAGGATTATTATTTTTGTTAAAAATGTTAAATGCTCGGTTCAATGACAGTAGTATAGGGCCTATAATGGTTAACTAACCACGCGAAAAAGGGCGGGTTCGAGAGAAGCATAAATCTGGCAGAAGTAAACTGCCAACAGACATAAACACACTCCGAATTACAGCACAATTTAGAGATAGTATCGATACTTCAGCTCAATGCTCGATACCAGTAATAATGCTTAGAGTCGATACCGAGTATCGACATTCCTAGACAAAATATTGAATATAAAATGTACATGGTATGGTATGTAAGTACTAAACCTACCCAATATGCATGACTATTCCTTGGAAAATAAGAGGCAAAAGAAGCAACAGGTAGGTTATAGTGTCCAAGAACTTCTACAGGAGATATGTTTGACATTAGAGCCTTAGAGTCGATAAATTAGTGAAATGGCACTCCTCAATTGAGAGTAAATTCGAATTTCCATTGAATTGCATCAGCACATTAGGATTCCTTGATGGACACATGCCTTAGGTGAGGCTTGTATTTTAGGTGCCTTGGGAATGCAAAGAGGCACAATATTTGTGAGAGGTGAGGATTTAGAATATTTAGTTACAAACCTTCTTAACTATGTTGAAATAGTTCCACAAAATTAAATTGTCACTGAAAGAAGATAAGGATCATTGAGAGAACTTTCACTATCACCAGGGGGTAATGCCTTGCCTTCACCATCACTCGCACTTCGAATCGCACGCTCGGACCTCGGACATGTTCAGACTTGTTCAATGGTTTGTTTACATTCATAAACCATGTGTGCGCTTTTATTAGTGCAAAAATAGAAAGCGTCAAAGCAATTGTTTTTGAATGTACGGCAAAAGCTGAAGCTTGAAAAATTTCCTGTGCTATTTTAACCTTTTAATAGAAATTTTATCTATCATGATTCTTCTTAGTGATGAGCTTTTCAATATTTTTGAACTTTTGAGTCCCTCTTGAGTGTGGAGATATTTTGTTCTAAGCAGTTGCCTTACTGAAGAATTTTCCCGCTTAAGTTTAAAATTGCGCTCGAAAGATGAGTTGGAAAGTTTATTTTTTAAAAAAGAAAATTACATCGTTCGAGAGAGTTGGCAAAAAAAAAGAAAAGAAAAAAACTTCCTAATTTTGTTTGTATGAGAGTGTTTGCCAGTGTTCCACCATTTAAAGCACGATACGCATATTATGATTGCAACAATCAATACATCTCCATGCACGCACATGCGTTTGAGAACATTCGTAAAATGGCGAGCAATAGGTATTATTATTTTGAAGGAAAGAACACACATTGGATCTGGAACTAATGTTTTTAAAGCACTCTTGTTAAAACATTCGTCCTGAACATCGTGAATTGGTTTAAAGACAGATGACAGCAATTTTGTAAGTTCACAAGAGACGAATTTGACGCCCCTGATCAACTGCCTCGGTAGCGCAGTAGGCAGCGCGTAAGTCTCATAATCTTAAGGTCGTGAGTTCGATCCTCACCCGGGGCAAATTTTTAAGGGATTATTAAGCGGTTCGTAGATCAATCGGTGATCAGGAAGGATATGAACTTACTCTACTCATCCGTATCTTTTGCGCTAATTCATTTAAGTTAGCCCCCGTGAAATTTAAAGAACAACCCATATGGGTGCTGGATTCGTCGCTGAAATAAAAGAAAATGAGAGTAAAAATATAAAAATACTTTCAGATGCACATACATTTACCATGCAAACATAATTTTCGAATTTCCATGCCCCCCACAACCCCCCCCCCAATCCATGGGCGGAACCAGGAACTTTTCGAGCAGATATTCAGATATTGCATCAGGGGGCGTCTGGGGGCCATCAAAAACACTCAACTAAGGATGGTCTACGTGCGTCGTGGGGGTTTCGAAGAGGGGGGGGGGTAGAAAATTTTGACAAACTGCCTCTTCTCAGGGGCAATTTTGGGCTGTTCTCTCGAAAAATTGGGCTAAGATGAAAGATGATGCGTAACTTGATCTCTAGTTTACCTACCTATACTTAATACTTAACGCACATATTTTAGTTTTTAAAAAATAAAAATAAATAAATAAGTGTGATTTTAAAAAGATCACTTATCTTGTATAATGTGGTACCTACGAATTGAATTTTTTAATAACATTTCAAGTGATAGTATATATTTAGTCACGAGAAACAAAATACTTACGTATTACCTGCCTTAAAATATTTTTCGATGAAAAAAGTGAGGAATTTAATGAATGATCAGCACTTGTCAAGTCTAAAATATAATGCTGGTATTATGTATTATTCTCCGACCCAAAACTCGAAATTAACAGCACGCTCAAGCGTACAATATTGCTATGTTGTGCTGTGCTACAAGCGATGAGAGGGTACAATCTGATGTGAGCCTTAAAGTGCTTTAGGAAACGTGTAGACCGCGGCTCATCCCAATGCGTGCTTCGTGTGTAAAGTCATGTATAGTTGAGTGCGGAATGACCACGTATTGGTAGAGGCTTTGTCTGGCCTTAAATGACGCGAATTTCTCACCTTCTCCCAACGACTCCGTGGCGCAACGGTAGCGCGTCTGACTCCAGATCAGAAGGTTGCGTGTTCAAATCACGTCGGGGTCACGTACTTTTTATTTTTCGTATAAATTTTAAATTACAAAATTTTAACTTTAGTACATGTTGGCATTCATAATTTTCAAAATTTTCAGATCATTGAAAAGATATTAATGAATTATTGAATTTCTAAGTATTGGGCTTTCTTGGCTTATCTCCTCGGTATATCTGAAACGCAACGCTCCATGGGGATTTGATAATAATACTTTTTTCCCCTTAATATGTCCAATTTGAGTTCTTTTCGGCTGATGACACATAATTACCGGCTGAAATAATTCATTGTAGATATTACAGCGGAAAATGATGCAACTCTACAGTTGAACACGAGCTTACGAACGTGAGTTTAGCGGCCTGGATTTCATTATGCCCTCCCCACCTCTCTTCACATGCTTGGGATATACTGTGCGTCATGCAAAAATGTCTTTTTTTTTCCTTCAAAAAATCAATAAGACAGAGGTGACAGGCTGTCACAGCACTGACAGCAAACAACTATTGGGTGGGGCTCATGCTCTTGTGATAGAAGTTTTGTATCATACGAAATTGAAGGCGTATTATGGTTGCGAAACATGACGAAGAGGAAGAAACTTGATTCGTCAAGGAAGCCTTAATCCCCGATTATACAAAGAGAAAAAATTGTTAATTCTTTTACACCTCCCATTTACTTTTCTCTTTGTAAAAAAAATATGTAAGAATTGTTTTCTTTGGTATTCTGTTCTTTCTTCTTACTTTCGTATTATGATAATTATGTTCTTTAACCCTTGGATGCCAAAGACTTCTTTCATATGCAAAGTACCAAGTCATGGCAAATTGACCCGTATTTAAAAACCTTGATTTTGATTGTTTTCGGAGTATTATCTTTGTTATGTCTATGTTTCTGAAGGCAAGGAATACTTGTTTTGAAATTTTCACTACACACCGGCGCTTGCTTACCTCTCCCCCTCGGTATGTTCCTTATTTTTAAAAATAAAACTTTCAAGTTGGTCAAACCTTCAAAAGTTTTTATGCGGTTTGAAAACATATCGACGGCGTAAGTCGGCAATCACATAACTCGGTTTGCGACGTCGCAGACTCCCTGTCATACTTTATTTTTTAAACGGAAAACTGCCCAACGGCAATTCTTTAAAATTGTCGTGATTTTTCTTCTCTGTGCGAAGAAAATTCTGCAAAAACTTCAAGGAATGATGTCAATTTGTTCTCCTTAAAAAAAATAACATAGAGGCGAAGATTTTCAGACACCGCAAACGAGCTATATGTGATTGCCGACATACACGCTCACACTACACCGTCGATATGTTTTTTGGGAAAAAATTCACTCCGCTGCCCATGGTTGAAATGCGTGTTTTGGGTTGTTCAAAGAGTCTATACCCTCAAAAAATGCCGAGTTGCGGCTTAAAAGAACAAAAGTTGGGTGCATTTTTACGTATCTGTGATATGTACATTTAAACAACTTTTGCCAACCTTGCGCTCTTCCAGTCCTCTCACCCCTTGGACGGCCGGTAAAATATATTGTAAATTATTTTTTCTTTTTGCACACCACATAGAAACTTCTGAAGGGTTGACCAAATTGAAATTTGCAATTTTCAAAAATAAGGGACACCCTATCCCCAACACCCCATCCACTATGTGTGACTACCGTAGAGGACGAAATCGGTTCAATTTTATCAGGCTCGGGATTTCTTGGAGTAGTCGTCCCCCCCCCCCCAAAAAAAAAAAAAAAAAAAAAAAAAAAAAAACTTCCTGATACCAACGACACAACTCGGGCGATACCAATTTCTAGACGTGGGCCCTTTAGGCAGGCCCGGACTTAGGGCGTGTGCAGGGCGTGCGGCGCACACGGGCGCCAGCCTTTGGGGCGCCACGAAAGAAGAAGAGAGGGAAAAAAGGGGGAAAAGGAAAAGGAAAAAAAGGGAAGGAAGGACAAGGGGAAAAAAGAAAAGGAAACAAGGTTGGGCAGTGAAAGCAAGGAAGAAGGGGGGAAATGGAAGGAAAAAGGAGGCAAGAAAAGTGAAAAGAGAGTCCGCGAGATAGGGGGGCGGCACAAAAACCATAGACAAAATATAAAGAGAATTGCCGTCTAAAGGTAAATTTTCAGGACAAAAACTCCACCTGGTCCATAGACGGTTAGGCGCCCCTTGACCCTAAATTTGCGGCTGTACAGAAATACAAGAGTGGGCATGTAGTAAGGGGGCGCCATAAATCCATCGAACAGGAGCCGACATAGCATTTTAGGCCACGTCCGCCATCTTGGATTTGAGAATTTTGAAACACAGTAAAAATTCGAGTTTCCGGTCGAAAAATACCCTCAGACACCGAGTTTCAAAAAAATCCATCGAACAGGAGCCGACATAGCATTTTAGGCCACGTCCGCCATCTTGGATTTGAGAATTTTCAAAAATCGACTAAAAATTCGAGTTTCCCGTCGAAAAGTACCCCTGCTACCGCGGTTCACAAAGCTCTATAACGAACAGAAACCGAGATAGAATTTTAGGCCACGTCCAACAACTTGGAGTTGAGAATTTTAAAAAATTGACTAAATATTCGAGTTTCCCGTTGAAAAACACCCGATAATACCGCGTTTCACAAGACTCGAACAAACAGAAACCGAGATAGCATTTTAGCCCACGTCCGCCATCTTGAATTTGAGAATTTTAAAAAATGGACTAAAAATTCGAGTTTCCCGTCGAAAAATACCTCCTGACACCGAATTTCTGAAAAATCCATCGATCAGGGCCGAGATAGCATTTTAAGCCATTTCGGATTATCGAATTTTGAATTTTTTGAATTTTGACAGATTTTGATTTAAAACCCGTGATCCCCAAAATCGAAGTTCAGATTCGTATTCCTCGTAAAAAATCGATGCGATTTCATGTATTATACCCTGACACCGAATTTCAGGAACATCCATCGAACAGGAGCCGAGATGGCATTTTAAGCCACGTCAGTCATTTCAGATTTTCGAATTTGGACAATTTGACTTAAAACGCGTGATACCCAAAATCGAAGTTCAGATTCGGATTCCTCGTTGAAAATTGATACAATTTCATGTATCATACTCGAGCATAGCGTGAAGGAAAGAGACGTAACGTAGGCATACTGATTCGAGCATATGAATGCAACGTGGCAACATGGGTGGTGCTCAGTGGGTCAGCGGAGGAGGAAGAATAAGAATTTATCGTGAGGAATTCTTCGCGACGAAACCGAACGCTTAGGCGCTTAATAAGTGGCGCCTCCCCGTTCGGTTTCACTCGGGCGACAGGCGGCGGCGTAGTTCAAAGGGGAAGTACGACAGAATCTATACGCGTCGTTAAACCTTTTTCTCTCACGCTACTTTAACATAAGATACATGATATCTCATCAATTTTTCACGAGGAATCCGAATCTGAGCTTAGAATTTGGATATTACGCGTTTTAATCTATTTCAAATTGTAGGAGAAATTACAGAATTGTCCTTGAAAATTGATCACACATTAGTGTTTTTTACGTCATTAAACCTCTTTCCTTCACGCTATTCTAAAATTTGATGCACGTAATCGCATCAGTTTTTCACGAGGAATCCAAATCTGAGCTTTGATTTTGGATATTACGCGTTTTAATCCATATAAAATCGTAGGAGAAATTACAGAATTGTCCTTGAAAATTGATCACACATTAGTGATTTTTTTACCCCGTTTTTCTTCTACGTTCACGTAATGAAATTAGATCAACAGTTGACTAATCGACTAGTCTAGCCTAACCCCCCAGAATCGGTCTAAAGGGCGAACAATTTTATCAGATAAGATGTGCGATCCTATAGTTTTCGGGCAATTGCGGTTTGATGGCAAGCTGCGATGAGGAGAAACGGAAGATATGCGAAACTCGGGCGGATATTAAGTGAGAAACCAGGTAGGTAGGGGAAAGGCTTTCTTCCCGAAAAGTTAGTGCTCGGGCCAACTTACATGGTCACTGGAGCATTGTATAGCAGGTTGTGGGAAACTACTTTTTTTGCAGCAACAACCAATTGGATCGCATTTTGCAAAAAGGAACTAAGAGCATTTCAATGTTGCTGGGATTGTGCAACTTAGGTACATTCTTTGCAAAAAGTAAACTTTGCGACGGTAATTTTCGTCTTGAATTCATAGTCTGTTGGGAGTAGAGGTGAAACTAGTTTAGATGATCGTTTATGTTTGCAAGGTTAGCGACATTGGAATGCTCTTGTTAGGGTGCTTTAAAAGACCTCCATATGTTTATTTATTTTCAAAATGACTGTTGATCTGGAGAGAGAATACTATTTATTGAGCAAACTTAACCTTGAATTTTCTCAGATTTCAACAATAAAAGACATCTTGACGCGCGTTGATAACAGCGCAGAGATAAAAGTGGATCCCATTTAGCAAAAAGGAACCAGCGCGATTACAGAGTTGTATACATGTTGATTCTTCATAATTATCTAAAAAATTTCTCAGAATAGCAAATTGTTTTACTTTCCACAAGAAACTTGCTGAATTTAAAAGAAAATAATTGTGTAAAGAATACTGTACATATATTGAGTATTTTTAAAAGGAAAGAAGAAGTTGCACAATTTTGAAAATACTGTAATCGCGCTGGTTCCTTTTTGGTAAATGTGATCCAACTATTCAATGGAGCTTGATGGATGTCCGTGTTTCATCTGCAAGATTGAAGACGCGATGGCGTAAAGTAGCGTAATGCTTCCCTCAATGCTGCCAATTAAAGTTGCTCAGATTCGGGGAAAAGATCAACAAACGAGGCCGGATTACGTCTTCCCTATATTCGGCTTTGTTGCTCTCGTAGCCTTGAAACACCACTACAAATAATAAAATGGAAATAAACATAATATGAGTACGAAAATGGAGCAAGAAGGATACGTGTCGATGACGGCGCAGAGATACAACTATTCGTGCTTGATGGATGTCCGTGTTGCGTCTGCAAAATTGAAGGCGCGATGACGCGAGGAGTGAACGCGCAATGCTCCGCTCTAAGCTGCCAATGAAGTGTCGCTCAGATCCGGATAAGTCAATGAACGAGAACGGAATGCGTCTCTTCTCTTTCTCTGGCTGACAATGAGCCTACACTCGAATTTTCCTTTTTTATCACTCTTAGGCCTGATTCTTTTTTTTTTACGATACATTTGTAGGTTCAAAGCTTGTATGTACGTACTGGCTTCATAAAACCCGTGGAGTGTTGATTAGCGAGCTTCGGTTCAATTTGACCCGGCCTGGGCAGATGAGGGTTAAAAACATTTTGCGGTTTATGATTGATTTTATCACGTTTAAAATATAATGCAGAGATGAATATAAATATTGGGTGCTCGGTATAAAGTTGTTAATTGCCCCTGTAAAAAAAATTATCCTGAAGGAAGAATGCCCGACTTCTGACTTACCTTATCAAAGTATTCTTAGAACTTTGGGTTTAGTAATTTATTTTCCACTTCATTATAAGTATACAGAAAGGATTGGTACATTCTGAATATACTGGGAATTCCATAAGAGAGCCGACTCAAGATTGTCAAGGTGTTTACTTCTCCTGAATTCCGCTTTAGTTTTACGGTTGCTCCTAGATCTAAGAACCGTAAAACTAAAGGAGGCTCTCGTAAACTAAACTTGGTAAAAAAACTAACGAATGATCTGGCTCTCGCTGTACGTCTTTTTTCACGTTGGCAGTCATGAATTTTCTTTTTCGTCATCTCCGACTTTTATCCACCGCCATACATTCGTATTCATGACAGAAATATAGCGCCTTTAGATTTAAATCTAATTGCTAACGAACCACCCTAGTTTTCAAAACCACGAAACTTTCTTTTAGAGTGAAAATACTGGCTCCAAAATCAGGAATGAAAATAGGACTGTAAGTGAATGAACGTATACATATTATGAAGTAGGCATGGATAAAGTTTGCTCAGCGTCAAACGTGATATTTGATATGAAGTGTCACCAGTATAAGTGCAACTCTGGGGCGAGTAGCTTAGAGAACAGGGCGCACAAATGTAGTTTTTGCTATTTCGAGAAACACGTGTTTGAAGTTTCGAAATTACATGGATCCTTATGGCGGAAGGAGAGTTCCAACTGACTTTTTGATGCTTAAAAATTGGAATTTTGGAGCGATAATTTTTCACAGAGTATGCATTAAGACTCGTTTTACTTGAAATCATTAATATCTCAAATTTGTCAAAAACTGCACTAATGCGCCTTGTCCTCCATGCCCCTTAATTGATAGACAGGCGAGCCTTTATAAATGAGCGTATTGGAAAAGTCAAAATTTATTACTTGCACTTTTATTTTGTTTCAACTTTTAATAATAACAAAAATGTACAAAAATCTAACCGTTCGCCATACAATATTCATCACCGGAGGCGAAGATCAGAGGATACCTTCTGTTTAATACATTGGCTCAAATGGTGCAGAAATTATTCTTTCAAATCGATCGAAATTACAGGATATCTGATATTTCGGATTGAAAGCGTGCTCAAAGTTGGTCTTGAGCACTCCGTTATTTACAAATTGACAATATACAAAATAAATTAATATATATCTGATTTAAATAATTAATGACATTTCTATGTACAAATTCACAGGGATTATATGGATTATATGGGGCTCAAGTATCGGGTATTCATTTAATTGGTCTTATTTAATTATTTGCATATACACTCTCATTAAATTAGTGTTTTAACAATGAACTGGGAACATGTTGGCCAACTGCAGGGATATTGAATTCGCCGCATATTACAAAAGGGTTTAAATGTTGGGTACAGATTAAAAACCTGCGTATTAAAAATTATATTTCAATTTCTTTTTTTGAACATCTATATTTTCTCAAAAGGAAGTGCACTTCAAAACTATTTGAAATTATTTTTTCTAAAGGTGGATTTGAAACATTCTTATTGTTTCTGGAAGAAAGGGGAGGTCTGGCAACTCCCACCCTTAGGACGCCAACCAAAGTTCATCGCAGGGCGCTAAAAATATAAATCGGGCCTCATACTCCTGCAGATCTTTCTTTTTTTGCTGATATTTAAAATTCAAGCATTGGAACACGATTCTGCGCTGGAAAAAAAGTCTCCTGGATCTATAGAGTCCAGACTCTCGAAAAATTTGACACGAAAAAGTATAGATTTTCGCTTGAATCGACAGAAGATCTGCTTATAAATTAACTGGCTTGGCTCTCAATTCGGGCAAGAATCTGATTGAATCGAGGGTATTTTTTCTTGTCAAATGTTTTATGAATCAGCAGGCTGATTGTTGAAATTGATAGACAAAGCGATAGGCCAAGAGGACACCGGGAGTATGAAGCGATCCTATTGGTTGAAATGGGTAGCTGTTAATGGCAATATGGGAGAAAATGATGCTGACTAACTATAGGGTTTCTCGTGGGTTGCTATTATAATAGTAAGTCTGTTACCTACTGCCTTTGTCCATAGCAACCACTCGCTTCCACCAATAGGCTCCCTCCATATATTTATTGTCTTCTTTGTCTATCACTTCGTCCACCAATTTCAACTATAAGCCCGCTGGACTCTGGATCCGAGAGAGTTCCTTTCCCAGTGTGTGACCAGCACTACCGAATCATTTCTCTATCGTCATGATTCTTGGCAGCGCTACAGGTTGGTGTGCGTAGGTGCAGTGGTGAGCTGGGGCCAGGCATCGATGACGAATGGGCTCCTCTGGGGCGGAGGGGCGGGGGGCGAGAGTTGCTCCCGGTAGGCCTCCTCCTCCTTGACCTGGGCCATGCGAGCGTGATCGTAGTCCACGAAGAGGTTGCACCGCTCGTTGGCGTCGACGAGGGGGTGGTGGTACTCCGAGTGGATGATCGGCAGGGGGATGTACTCGTGCTGGTAGTGGTGGAGGGGGTACTGGTCGGGGGGCGGCGGCGGCGGCGGGAAGGGGTGCCAGCCGGAGTAGTTGGAGACGGGCGAGGGGCACGTCATGGGGGACTGCGACGTCGTGATGATGGCAAGCGGGGGTGGTGGCGAGATGGAGGAGCTGAAGAGCGGGGGCGGGCTTTGGGCCCCCCAGCTGAAGCTAGCCACCGAGCAGAGACCTGCTGGGGAGGTCGATTCCGATGGCAGGTCGCATGGGTATCCGCCTGAAATCAAATGGTATACAATTTTAAGGCCTGGTGTAATCGCAGAGCCGAGGGAAAGACATGTATATCGTATCGATGACCAAAGTGTGAGCTGTGAGATCATCATGGACTGCATTTTGCAATTTGGAACTAAAAATTCTGGCTCATCTGAAAAAAACGCTCATGTGCGCAGGAAACTAATGGCACATACGTTGTTTTCAAACCGGGCCAGAATTTATAGTTTCAAATTGCAAAATGCAGTCCATATATCTCTGTTTGCGATCTTGCAAACTTTCTATCATACCTCATTTTTTTATTGACAAACTACTAAGCATGATGTTTTGAAAACTTCCTTGATTTTTCTTCTCTGTTAGCAAAATATTCTGTATGAATTTCAAGGTATAATGTTAACTTGTTACTCTCCGGGAATATGAGCCAGAGCTGGACATTTGGAAACACCACAATGGAGGCACGTGTTTCAGTTTTTAGTCATCGATACTTATGTTGCGACGTCTAAAAATCACTGCAAATTGGCAAAACTGTTTTCCCTCTATTTAACTGCATCATAAATAATCAATCTCGGTAAGGCAGCGCTGTTTATCCTAAAATCGATTGGTATCAATTATTGTCCATACATTAAAATGACCAGAGTCCATTGTTTCGAACTTTCAAGATTAGCAAATGACAGTGCATGTCACGGAATGAATAAGCCCCTTAGTCCCCTCCGGACGAGTTAGCCCCATTTTTTCATTCAGAGCGCTTACTTTTGTTCGCTTCTGTTAAAAGCAGCATCAAACCGCCGCTTTTATGCTTTAAAAACAGATAGGAAGTAAACGAATATACAAAGTTTGGCTGTGAAAACCACGCAAAGGAATCTATACTCATGCGATTCTTACCAATTGATTGTGAGGATTGGGAACTTGGTATGGACCTTGGAGGATAAGGTGAATGCCTGTGATGTCTACTACTCGATATACCTCGGTCATAACTTGAATGGACAGAACTTTGAACGGACGGCACCAGCCACGAACTCGCTGTAACTGAAAATTAACAACAAGGAATTAACAACGGAAAAGCATCTTTTTTCATAATGAATCTTTTGTAACAAAAACATGAACTTCACACGATGAAGAGTCCTATAAAATTATTTAATGCAGTGGGGCTGAAGTAAAAGATGGCACATGAGGATTGGCTGCAACAGGCGCCATCACATAATAAGGGCGCTAAAATGAGAGAAAGAAGAAAAGATGAGGGAGAAAAACGAGAGATAAAAATTTTGAGTACTGCAGAGTAATGATAAAGTACCGAATCTACTGAGAATCTATTCAGCTGTTTGAAAACATTGATATTTTCCTTTGAGTAGGTAAACCAAACAAACGATGTGCGGGGCTTCTCCTTCAATTTCAGTGCATAGGCAACATATCTACAACAGAGCGCGAATAGTTATCTATCCGAAGAACACATACTAATCCCGCTCCATAAACTTTAATAGAACCAATATACCACCCCTAAACCTATTAGTATAGGTGTCGTTCACTTGCGATTAGCCTTCAATTTCGCAGCATAGGCAACACTTATACCGCGAAGCGCGAATAATTACCTATTCGAAAAGCACACAATTATATCGCTCCGTGAGACAACTGAGGGGCTTGGAGAACAAAAAGCACAAGAGCAGTTTTTCCTATTTCGAGAAATACTTGTTTGAAATTTCGGAATTACATGGATACTCATGGCGGAAAGAAAGTTCAAACTGACTTTTTATGCTTGAATATTGGAATTTTTTAGCGAATTTTTCACAGACTATGCATTAAGACTAGTTATCCTTGAAATCATTAAAAATCTCAATTTTTCCAAAAACTTCACTCATGCGCCTTATCCTCCAAGCAACTCAATAACTGCAACACAGAAGATGTCTTCGGGCCTGACCAGAAAATTAAAGGCGAAATAACTAAGTATTCACTTTACCACCGTACCCTTTTGTGTTATTCTACTTTTTTCAAACATCCATCAGAAAACAACACTGGCAATTTTCTGATGTTACAGTTGATATTTTGTTTATTTTTAGCGGCGGTTTCCGTAATTTTTTGTGTGCCTAGCCGTTTATGTATATGTTGACGATTCAAAGTTTTCCTGCAAGTAATGAACAATTTAAGTAGACACGAACTAATAACAAATACTTACTACTTTTGCATTGTGAATACTGAGAAGACTGGGAAGTGTTGGTCTCTCTTTGATACGCATTCTCCGACGGTCTTTCCTTAGCATCTAAAAAGGCCTTTGCGAATGGATTGTACTTGATTTTTAGAGACGTTACCTGTAAAATAAATGTTGAATTGAACTGCTGATGAAAGATATTCATTGTTTCTACTCTTCACTCTTTTTGGAGTGAGGCCTTTTCATGAACAGACATAAGTGTGTTTCGTGTCGAGTTTTTGTTGTGCATCAAGTATGTCTCTTGACTTCTTGAGGCACCATTCTCCACAGTGCAAGCTTTTGCCTCGATTGCCTCTTTCTTCCTCGTGGTTAGAGACGTACCTTTGCGATGTATCGATTGATCTGCCATTTAAACCTATGGAAAAGAATCGATAAACAGAGTTTTCGCGACGAACATCTTAATAATCGATTCTTTACCATAACTTTAAATGGGGAAATATCGAAAATCGACCATTCGTGTCTCGCCATTGACCTAAGAGTGGGAGACCATCCCAATTTCACCTCCCAAAAAAAAGGTAATTTTCTGAGATTTTCGAAAATTTTTAACCTTCCGATCCTCCCATACTCTCATCTCCCGGCTCCCGGTAAAAAAATTTTTATCAAAGACCCCTCGCCATTGAAAATTTCTGGCTAATCCTCTGCCTGTCGTAGAGGATAAATGTAGCAGAACCTGTAGTATCAGCAAAGAACATTTGCAGACATGATTATCTAATTTCTAATGATAACACTGTTTATCGGCGTATTAGCTACTAGTATTAAATGTTGATAGAGGTCATTTTAGCTGAGAGGCTGAGGAGAAAATTCTTTGAAGATTTTTTTTTAAAAAAAACTTAAAATTGATCATAAAAAATCAAGTTGAAAGATAATGTCTGATACGTGTTAGGAATTTAATTTAAGTGAGAATTATTAGCTTTAATAAATTAATCTGCTCGAAGTATTGTCGAGTAACTGTCTCACCTCTTCATTCTGGTATGCGGTCACAGCTATAAATTGGGTCTCTGGGAATGGACATGTGACTTTGTTCCTTTGCTCAGAGCCTACTTGGACGATGTGTATCCTAGGTTCGTACTTATGCAGCGAATTCAACATGATCTGGAAAAAGAGAAAAAGCTTCCTTGTCATTTCTGTGCTTACTTTGAAATATGTAGAAAGCTATTACCAAAGAAATGAATCTCTTAAATTTGCAGACGACTGAGTCCTGAATGTGATTGATTTTTTTTAAACACATTTTGCGATCCTTTACTCTTTGACAGCATTACCTCATCTACTTATGAAGAAACCGTGAAGTTTTCTCCCGTGATACATTCATTACATGCATACTACTTAGTTATTTCCATATATTATTTATATATTCTCTAATTCGTGCGTTATTTATAGAGTTTGTTAGTCGCAATCTTAGCACATGAAGCTCTTGAAATTGTAGAATTGCAAAATTCTTGTCTTAATGATCTAAAAAAATCAAGCTACACTGCGTGCTTCCGAGCAAAATAGTTTAAAAAAACAAATTTTAAAAGTTTATTGAACTTATTGAAATAACGCAGATGTTAAACTTATACTTGACAGACACGAGCTTTCACGTGGTCGAACTATGGCATCATCATGAAACACGCTCACTCGAGACCCATACACAATTTTAACGTAATGTCAGTTTGCCTTCAATTCTTCGTGTAGGCAACACAAGCTCCCACGTGGTCGAATAGTGGTATCATCCCTTAGATGATGGTCAGACTGTTTTTGTAGGCGACGATAACTTGAGAAGAAGATGAAAAAAGGAAGGAGAAAAAGAAGAAGAAAGGGGAAAGGAAAATAAGAAGGAGTCGAAGTAGAAAAGATGAATAAAATGAGAAGAAACAGAAGAAATGAACAAAAAAAAGAAAAGGGGTTATGAAAAAGAAGAAAAGGAAAAAATAGAGAGAAAAAGAAAAGAGATAGAAGAAGAAAAACTGAGGATGAAGAAGAAGAAAAAGAAGAAGAAAATGAAAAGAGAAATAAGAAGAGTAGGAGATCGACAAGAATCGAATGAAACAGATAAACGTACGTGCCAGTGAATATATGTAGATTCAATTATAAAACATAATAGAAGAACAGTTTTCTTTTATTTTTCGATTTCGATCGAATTTTAAATGTCGATCGAATTGCCCCAGTAAATTTCTCAATTAATGAAGTAGTGAATGATTAAACTTATGGTATGGCGAAGGATCTGGACCCGTGACTTCAGTCACGGGCCATTTGTTAGTTGACCAATACTGCCCTGCAAAAAGTAAAATTTAAAAACGTAGAAGGGAGGCAGGTGCCCATTTGCCAGTGCCCTTAACATGAATGGCTTGTAGGAGCTTCCCATTACATACCCTAAATAATCATTGAAACCTTTATATTCTTCAAAAAGCTTTTGACGTGCTTGGATCGTCACTTTTGGTATTCCAAACCACTGTAAGAGCAACTGTGTAGGTGCTGATTTTTAAAAGTCAAAGAAATCATTCAGTTAAAGTACCTAAAAACATCCATACCTGGCCAGATCCATTTGTTTTATTAGTAAGTTTGACTTTGGCAAATGAAATGGAGTCCTTCATCCAGTGGGCACCGAAATTTGGCGATTCTGGATGGACGTAAATCGGGTTCATTGGCGCAGCCTCAGCTTTCCCACCTGGTACCCATTCGCCATTGACATATTTCCACCTGGGGAGGGAAAAAAAAGCGGCTAAATAATTTGCAAAATCTAAAAAAAATCAATTTCTAAACTCAACAAATAGTTTTGCGCGATTTTCTGAAAGCTCCACCTTCATACGCTAGACTTGGCGAAAATGTGATTGGAAAGTTGGGGTGATTTAAAAAAGCTAAACCCGTGAGCCTTCCAGATATTCTGTGCTACCCTTGGGCAAGAAAGGATGCAAGAATTACAAGTCCGTGAACACTGAGAATATAACGATTGATGGTTTCAAAATAATTATTGAAAAGGTGAGAATATTCTAGAATTATTCTTGAGATACATAATGATCATTCGATTCCAATATTAGTTTTTTTTTTTATAAAACAAATATTCAAATAGGCGGATCCAGCAATTTGGCAACACAGGATTTCCTCCATTTAAACCTATGCTAAATAATCGATTCTCGTCGGAGCACCTGGCCCCTCCAAGAAGCGATACATTTCCATACGTTTAAATGGAGAAAAGACAACGTTGCCAATTTGCTTGGATCCGCCAATGATTAGATTCATCCATTCATCGGTGAATTCGTTGTTTCCCGGACGGAGAAACGTATATCTCTATTCCAAGGTTGCAAACTCGAATTACTCGATTCCTGTTTTCACACAAAAATACAGTGCACTTTCCATCCAAAATTCCGTCAATTTTGTGCATTACAAGTGCATTAAATTATATAAATTTTTAAAAAATGCATTGCATTCAACAAAATTAAATTACTACAGTGCATTAAATTAAATCTTATTCCACTACTACTCCAATCTGCCTTTCTTTCTCCCCCCCCCCCGACCGACCCAACGCCACTGATTTATGAGTAGATAAAATGTTTTCAGAAAGACACATAGAGATTTTAGAAACGGCAAAGGCACGATTTCCTTTTTTTTTTCAAAACAGAGATTAAATAGCTTGCGCACAATACATCGTAACAACTTACCTATGCTGCTCAATTTGTACAAATTCTAATAACACAGTATACATGGCACTTTGGTCTAATCCTCTGACATTTACTTTTACTACCGGGAACATGCGCCTAGGACACAAGGAAAAAAGCATCATTTTAATATTGATCGAGGCTGCTGATTCTTTGATACAATAGCCTAATGAATAGTAGCTGTGATGCTGCTGATGTTTTACAAATACACGCGAGTCTCATCGTTTCGTTCCTAATGGTGAAAATATATGTACAAAACGCCTCATATGTTAAAAAATTCCTAAGACATTGATGGCTTAAACTTGGAAACCAAATATCTCGGCTTAAGATTTTGCAAACTTCTCGCAGATCTTTTTTTTTTTTTTTTTTTTTTAAAAAAAATGGTGGGCTGATGAGCTTAATTTCGGCAAATTTTGAGATTTTTTTCCTTATTTGAAGAATATTCTAAGCTAATTCCAAACAACAAAGTTGATTTTCTATTCCTTTCAAAAAATTAAATAGGGGAGACAAAATTATAACGCAGCAATCGAGATGCGAGCATTTTTGACTTTGGACGGAATCAGTCTGCAACGATGATGAAATCAACTCTCATGTTGATTCAGCATATTAACATACATTAAGATGATATCGATTTGATATACGTATGATATCACTGTACAATTTCGGGTTGACAGAATTTAGACAACCCATGCAGATCAAAAAATATCATGAAACTTTCGCAACTTAAAAACATTATGAAATCATAATGCTCAAGTCTTTCAGTGTCGTAATAGCCTATTGCTTGGTGGAAGAAGTTATTCTGAAATTTGCCCTCATACCTGCCGTTTTTGGTGACAATCATTTCATTAGTGAGACTTTGAAACTTAATCCATAAATCGCGATCTTCTAATGTGACGAGGGAACTTTCTTCATCCTTTAAGCTGTTGGCGTTCAAGTCCGATTCGACCGGCGCTGTCGACAGACTCTGGGAGTTCGTCATCTCTGACCCAGATCACGCCAATCCACCCTGAAATCATTTAAATGATGAAAAATGCACTTTAATAAACGAATATACAAACCAAGGAACAGAAAAAAACTTACACAGAAAACACACACAAGGGATATACACAGTGGCGTGGCGTGATTTGCGATGTATCGATTGATTTGACATTCAAACCATCAAACCTATGGAAAAAGATCGATTATCGGGGCGTCCGCAACAAACGTCATAATAATCGATTCTTTACCGAAGCTTCAAAAGGGAAAATATCGATAGTCGATTACCACGCCTCGCCATGGATGTACACTGAAAAAAAAATATCGGTGTATTTACTAAGAAAAGGATAAAATTACCAAGAATTCAGGGTTCTATTTGATCCCAGTTTTTTCTTGGTAAAATTACCATCAATGGAATTGGTAATTGTACAGAGAAATCTCGGTAAAATTATTGACTTTCTCGGTAATTTTACTGGACCTTGGTAAAAACGCCAATATTTTTTATCGACTGTGGTAGAATTACCGAGATAAAATGGCAAAATTACCGGGAATTGATTACCAATAAAAGTGGTATTCTTACCTGAAAAAAACAGTAAAAATGCCAGTTTTTAGGTAAGCTTACCAGTCTGTCTTGGTAAAATTACCAATAATTGGTAAAAAAGTGAGATGGTAAAGGTACCAACAGACCTTGGTAAAAACGCCGAGAATTTTTTTTCAGTGTACACCAGTTTTGCCTAACTTTCGTTACGCAGCTTCCACGATGTAACTTGGGGTATTCCCTGATCAATTTTTTGTGAAGTGTATCATCAGATCGACAGGACTTTTAAATATTTGATTATTAAAATTGATTCTGGCTCAAACGATACTGTGGAGACATCGACATGCACGCGCACGGGAGTCTAATATGAAGAATACCGAGGAGACTCAAACGCTGCGTAAGAAAAGTTGACGATTTATCGATTTCAAGATGGATGTGCCTTATCAGTCCGTCGATTGGTTCCAAAGATAAAATACAATTAACTAAAGAAATACTGAAAGAGAAAAATGAAAAATCCACCTAATCCATGTACTCCAAGAACTGAAATACGTAGAGGGTCTTTGCAACCAAAAAACCCTGGATTTTGAATCGCGTTGTGTTTGGTAATCGCTAGCCTCTAGTTTCTGTTAGTTTCTGTAATAATTACAGTGCTGCGACGATGTAATGAATTTTTCATTCTGACTGGAAGCTAATTTTAAATTTATCGATAAGGTATTATATTTTAGTCACGCAAATATTTTGAAAGAAAGTCTATCACAATTTCGGCCAAATCTTGTGAGGTACCGACCAGACCATTAACATTTGAGTCTATTTAGAACGGCAACTAGTCACTTGTATTAGAAGTTCATCGTGGCTATAAATACAGAGCCTTGATTTGATAGTTTCGTAAACTTAGATAAAAATCAGTAAGAAAAAAACAAAGTATATTCAAATACTAGGTTTGTTCGATCGATATTAATGAATATTCGTGGTAATAAGACTAAAATGAGAGAACATGAACATGATGCATACTGTCCGCCGATCTGCATATTTTTCGACGAACATCATTTTCTTTTAAATTGACCGTAATAATATGGCGTCTATATGTATTCTATTAATTCCTACTGATTTAAAAGTCTCATCATCAAAACGAAATTCTAGGACCAGCGTGAGTGCTTGCTTATAAGAAAGGGCGCAAATTTCTTGAGGGATTATACCTTATCATAGAATCATGTACAGCCGCACTGGAAAAAAAAACACATCTAGAGTCCAGACTCTTGAAAACATTGACAAGAAAAATACTCTTGATTCAATCGGATTTTCGCTTGAATCAAAACGAAATCCTCTTAAATTAAGAGGCTTGGTTCTTGATATAGGTAAGCTAGATTCTGATACTGGAACTTTCTCTAGAACTTTCTCTTCTAGAACTTTTTCTTGTCGATGTTTTCAAGAGTCGGGACTCTAGATCCAATGTGTTTTCTTTTCCAGTGCGCGTCATTCATAAGTGCGTCACTGGAGGTCGTTCAAGAGAACTTCTTCATCTGTGAAAACGAACTGAAATATGTGGCATACGACATTTGAAAAGGGAAACATTTCAAAGTCAATCATGCGTCTCTCTCCTCGCCGAAGAAGCCCCGAAGGCTTTCGCCCATCGAAAACACTCTGGTGTAGGCTACGCAAACAAACACTTTCTGATATTTTCACAGGATTTGAATAGGTCAACAATTTTCTCGCCCATTGGTCACAATATTGTCCGTATACCTGAAAAACCGGGTCATCTGTCGAAACAGACCAATTCACAATACCGGCTCGTGATTTAAAAAGACCGGCCTGCTCGGAAAATGCAAAGAAAGCCGTCGAAGGATGAAAAGGGAGGAAAATCGCAAAGGGCTCCTGCGCCAAAGAAAATCGCAAATCAACGCACTTGACAAGTCGTGAGAACGCGCAGGGCTGCTGGCCAGGAATGCTGTAACAAAGGGATGAACGGACGACCGAATGAGGGTGAGTTTCCCTTTCGTCAGAAAATCTCGTCCTTAGGCAGGGTCGCGGGGTGGTAGCCGACAAAGGAACATGATGAACCTGCCAATATTATTAGCATATTGGCGGTGATGCCAAATCAGCCTGATCGCTGATCCTTTTCCCTCATGTTTAAAACAGTACGGCACACAGTGGATAGAGTCAATGGGGGAGGTCGGACAAAATTTGGGAACTTTGAACGCTTGTGCCTCCGTTTGTACAAAACTTTGAGGTTCTAAAAGTGGCTCCATCGGTTTCCTAGTTAAATTTTCTAGCAAAAGCATCCCTTTAAATTTAAAATGTGACGAAATAAACATCAAAATTTGCAGTTTTAGTCAATAATTTCATGTCCGACCTCTTTAATTGACTCGATCCACAGTACGGCAGTGCTGAAGGAAGTAGTTGTGTGTTCGAATTTTATTAAAATCTATACTCTCATGAAATATTCAGTTTTTAGACAATCTATATAAATGTCTATTTTTAATTTTCAAATGAGAAAATTGCGAAGGATATTCTTTAAAAGATTTGAGTAAAAAGTCATAAGTCAAAAAGGCCGCTTGGCTCTTGATTCAAACAAAATCCATTCGAGTCGAGAGTCTTTTTTCTTATCAAACTGTTTAAGAGTCCGGACTCTGAATCCAAGAGAATTTTTTTTCAAGTAAAACCTCACATGGAGAAAAAATGTCAGAAAAGTTTTCAAGGAATCGCGTTGAGTATTTTCTCATTTAAAAGTCACGGCATGACTGGTGGTCTGCCACGTCGTAAACCGAAATATTCCTCCAGTTTCGTATTTGAACCGCACAATCCCAGCAACGCCTGATGGCGCTTTCGAAGTTTTGCATTTCCACTCTTCAATCGACGAATACGTCACTTCCGGTTTTTCACAAGGTCACCATTAAATCCGACAACACCGTGACCTTCCTTTTTCCCGGTGGCGTCACCGTACCTGGACGAGCCGCCAGTCGAGCGGCGTGTCAAGCGGGTGCGGTGCAATAAAATTCAGCCTTTTAGGCCCCGCGGATAAACAAACCTTGGTTCTGCCTTACCTTGAGACCGAGCTCAACACGACTATTTAAATCAAAAGGAACTATCCTCATTGTGACATGAGCCCTGCCATGCGAGTATTCCTAAGGGTCTCAGGGCCCACGTTTGACGGAGATAGGTCCCATTGATTTAAAACGTCCAGTCATTAAGCCGAAGCACCTTTTACCTTCCTGGGGTTTTGCCGATACCTGCCGGGATTCGATTCTACAGGGAGTATTTTCAAAATATGACTCACGTTGTTCTGTCTTCACCCCTGAGCGCTCTTAATCTAACTAGGAAATCTAACGAGTCGCTTTTACTACGAGTCCATTCATGGTTTTCCCCCGACGAGAATGAATGGGAAACGACCGGAAATGTATATACTGCCGCGCTAAGAAAAAATGTCGTATGTACATCCAGATATGGACGTATTCATGCTGAAAGGGGCCAGAAACGGGTGGAAAAGACGGAGTGTGCTCGTTAGTTGAGGGTCGTAAGAATGAATAAGACTTTTAAAACTTTTTTTGAAAAACTCACGCTTTCACTAATTGATTATTTTTCGGACGCGTTTCGACGGCTACCCGGGCCACCACCATCAGCCGGCTGAACTATTTTTCGAAAAATAATCAATTAGTGAAAGCGTGAGTTTTTCAAAAAAGTTTTAAAAGTTTTAATACAGCTTTTAATGTTTTTCAAAAATTTCGATTATTTTATTAAAAATTTTATTAAAAATGAATGAGAGTTAAAGCGCCAGTGACGTCAGCGGCGACGACGGAGACGACACACAATGGATCGAGTCAATAGGAGAGGTCGGACAAAATTTGGAAACTTCAAACGCTTATGACCCCGTTCATAGTAAACTTTGAGGTTCTGAAAAGGGTTCCATTGGTTTCCTTGTTAAATTTTCTTGTAATTGCACCCTTTGAAATGGAAAATGTGACGAAATAATCATCAAAATTTGCAGTTTTAGTAAAAAATTTCATGACTGACCTTTCCGATTGAATCGATCCACTGAGCGACGATCCACGGATCTGAGTCTTTAACTCATGAGCCCTGTCCACAACGCTCTTGTGACATGCCCACGGCTCATGAGTTAGCATATTTTGGCGCTTGGTTCCTCTTGATTTTCAAAGTGGAAAATCCTACTTTTCCATTTCACTAAAAGGAATCACGCCCACCTTTACATTGTTTTTTAAGCAGCTCAAACGAGCACACCCCATCTTTCCCACACGTCTGTAGTTCCTTTTAGCATAAATACGTCCATATTTTCAAATCTCTCACTAAGAAACACTCTCAATCTAACTAGAAAATCTAACGAGTCGCTTTTACTCACGAGTCCATTCATGATTTTCCTCCGACGCGACGAGGATAAATGGGAAACGACCGGAAATGTACGAGTATATTGCCACGCTTAGGAAAGACGTCGATGAACATCCAGATGTTGCCAAATCTCTCACCATGAAACATTCACTTTCGAGGATAGTTATTAATTTTTTACACCGACCTCGAGTTAGGGAAAAAAAGCTGAACTTTCTACGCACGCTGGCTAAAAAACTCCAACATCCTGTGTTAATTTTTTCTTTGCAAATTTCAGATACTGTAGGTTAAATTGAGGCGCCCTGGGTGCAGGGCATTTCTTGGTTACGGTCTCTCAGAATTTCTGCTAACGTTTTATCCATTATGATAGAAGCAAATTTATGAAACTCAATTTTCTTTATGACTTTACAATTCTAAAAGATCAAAATTTCAGAAAATTCATCAAGTGATTTCCTCTAGAAAGTATAAATTAGCAGTGGAGATTCTGCAATCGCAACCAAGAAATGCCTTTTCTGCACCCATCACATTAATTGCGAATCAAATTCCCTAAACTCTCGGGGAAAAAAAATTCAAAATTTCTCGTAAAAATTCTCATTTCTTCGAGGAGAATTTGGCCACGTCTGAAGACTCGTACGGCGTTCGTCCTCCGAGGCCGTGAGACGCGAAAATCCCAAATTTTCGTTGGGTTTCAACAGTCGTTTTGGCGTCGTCCTTCCTCAGAGAGGCAATTTAAGCGATTTACAGCTTTCGAATTAATGTTTTTGCTAAAGCCGAGTATTTACGATTTGAGTTTGTGGATCTTTCTAGAGCGAATTTATAATGGACCACTAGACAAGGTACGAATTTCAGCATTCTGATACATGTTTCTTAACCAAAATTTCACGTAGAACACGATGCGCACAACAGAAATTACCAAAATCTACTCCTTACTAAGATATTTAATGAAACTTGATGCGTGAATGCAAACTACCCGCTGATGAAAACTCAATGCTCTACGTGATTCACATCGCGCGCTAAACGTTATCATGACAGTCTCTGCGATATAAAAATCTGATAACCTCAATCTTGACGCTTTGGCTCAGCTATAGCAAATTGCTTGTAGTTTGAACAACACGTGGTGGGAAATGAACATTGCTCGATTGAAAAACTTGCTGAAACCGCTGTAGTGCAAGATTTGACTCCCGTAGAGCTTTGAGTTTCTTGTCAGCGGGCAGTTCAAATTCCTCGTAACCAATGTGAAATAAAAACTTTAATATCTTCGTTAGAGGTTGGTTTCAGTAATTTTCGTTGTGTGAATCGTGTTCTACGTGAAATTCTAGTTAAGAAACATGTATCAGATTGCTTAAATTCGTACCTTGTCTAGTGGTCCATTGATCAATTGGTTATTGGTATAATTGTAGGATTTTTAGGAAGTTTTTCCAAATACCCCGAAGAGTCACATCACGCTGTAGGTAGGTATGTCAGATCATATTCTTACACAAAATTAGATGGACTGACACTTTATAAAACAATTCCAAAAGCGTGTCTTGGGTGTATACTTCCGTGCTAAGGAAGAACGCCGTATGAACCTTCAGACGTTGCCAAAATTCGTCAGATAAAATAAGAAATTTCTATATAACTTGTGAAGATTTTGCTCCCAATTGTTCAGATAATATAATTTAATTTGACATTTAATCCACGGTATCTAAAAATTTAATGGGAACAATAAATTAATAAATTTCCTAAAAAACAAATGCCTTACAAGGGACATGTTGGCAGCATCCGGGTGTTTATACGGCGTTTATCCTTAGCACGGCAGTAGGTATACCGTAACTTATTGCCTTCCGATTCGTGATATTTGCATGGTGAGGCGTACTTTCGCAATTATTTCAAAATATTTTTTGCAATTATTTTATGAGACTGCCATATTTGTGCTGCCGTGCTGTAAAACAATTTTGCACGCATATTCCAATGAAATTTTTTCCGACAAACACCGAATGTTTAAAGAATGCACGAATAACTTCCTGAATTTAGTTAACACTAAAGTTGAATCTTGGAAAAATCCTGTATATCTATGAAACTCCAATTTTTTCTGTTCGTGCCTCCGATTTCTATTCCCAAGCAAAAAATAGTAAAAAATTACATAAAAAATAGTATGAAATCAAGTGACGAAATTCTGGCCGTTCTAATGAGCAGAGAACTTCATCAGCTCATATAATCGAGCAGAGGCCTCAGAGTAAAGGCATAGTCTCATATGAAAGTCAGAGCCTTCACAAAGAAGCGAGACGTAGATTTATACATCCGTTATATTCTTGAGACAAGAAACAAGGAATTACTTCCTTCTCGTAAAGAAAAGTAAAGGAAAAAATAGAAAAAAAGAAAGAAAAATCGTCTGGATATCGAATTGAATTAAAAAGATCACACATGCTAGATTCTTTCAGATTATTTTCAAAAATGCATAGACAATGCAATGCGGCTAGGTAAAAGAGAAAATAGTCCAGGTTTTCTCATTATCTGATGTTAAAAAAAATCTCAGCTATTAAATGTTTACAGACTCAATTTAATTCTAAAATCAGGCGGGAAGATTAATATAAGATGCATTGATGATAAAAATTCTAAATTCAGTTCTATTTTTTTTTCTTTTTTTCCTTTAGATTTGTATCTCGATGTGCATTGTCAATCCCTGCCGGCAAATGTTCACAGAGATCTTCAAATTAATTGAACTTTCCTGTTGCTGGAACGGACTAGGTCATCATACACGTATTAGAAATATATGTTTAAAATCAGGTATATAGTTAAATCATGAAACCTCGCAAAAATGCAAGGAACATATTTCACACTGTTTAACCTTTGAATACACAATGTATCTCTACACTTAGAATTTTCGAAAATTTCTTTATTTTTATTTTTTATGTTTGTAAAAATTGTGATCATACTGTTTTCTATGTTTGAAGTCAGAAAACAAATCAAAATTTCGACGCGGGGAAATCACCAAAATTTAAATCGTAGACTCTTTTTCTGGCTAAAAGTAGATTAAATAAAACTATTAACTTGTTTTTTTACCCGTCTATCTTTTGTCGGTCTTACATCAGATAAAGTTGTCTTCAAAAGTCTTATTTAAAACGCAAGAATGACTCAAAGTCTGTTCGGAGAAATACAATGATTCCCCTGCACGAATTTTTGTTAAGTTCGGAAGCATCAATTAGTCATTATAAATTGCGGCAAGAGGAGTGTTTTGAAATCGTTTGAAAAAAAGGGGGGGAAATGTGACTTTACCCTCATTTGTGTCAACATTATTCCGGCTCCTGCAATCCTGCATGCATGTAAAGACCCTTCCTTAGGTATCATATAAAATTCGAATTTTTAATGTATTGGCCATCTAAGAATTTTATCGGATGTTGATGATGAATTCTAAATTAATTCGGTGTAGACACATAACCGATTTGATTATACACCATCAGCTTTGAAGTTTGCATAGAGGGTAGTGTACCTATATCACACTGATTTGTCATAACCAGCTAGCCCCCGCATTCTGACAAGCCTCACGAAGTACAAATTGAGCGAGAAAAAAAATTGATCAATAAATCACAAGAAAGTGTTGACCAACATTTTGACACGTACCTTTGAAATTTGAGACGAGAGAGAAAGAAGAAAGAAAAACAAAGCGACGAAATAAGTCCGACTCGCACTCGCACCGGGAAGATAATTTCGACACCTAACCGTAAAAAACGCCTCCATCCAACGATCCGGGGCCCGGCCGATCCATTCACAGGGGTTTAATAACAATTCACAAACAAGTTAAAATGAAATCTTTGCACCCGTTGCCGAGGAGGAGAAAGGGAATTAATAAGCACGCAAGTGTCAAGAATTTATCTGGATGATCATATTTCACACCACTTTGTTTGGACTCGCCGCGAAAGAGCCAACACGATCGATCGTCGCACTTGATAGCACCTCGTTCCTGGCTCTGGTTTCCGACTGATTTTCTTTCTCCTTTCTTTTGCGTCCGTTCCTGTTTTCCTGCTGGACAGCGCCCGGCGAGGCGCGGAGGCTTCGTCGCCTCCCATTGGCTCCGGCCGTGGGCGGGTGTCGGCCTGTTGGTCAAACAGCGAGGAGGTCGCCCAGCGGCCCGTGAGACCTTCGTCTCGTCATTGGAGAGACCGGTCTGGGCCTCGCGCCATCTCGAATGTAGGCGCCTCCCTGATCGTTAAGCTCTGCAGCTTTCGAGTCTCGTGGCTGTGGGCAAATTGAGGAGCACGAACATCGATGCGTTGTTTTGGCATTTTCGCCCGTGGATTACGGTGAAACTACCAGGCCACGTATCTTGTTTGCGGTGTTTAAAAATCTCCGCTCTTGTTTTATTTTTTCGAAAGTGGACAAATCAATATCATTCCTTGAAGTTTTCGCGGAATTTTCTTCGCACTGAAAAGAAAAATCACGGAAGTTTTCATGAATCAACATTGAGCTGTTTCCAATTTAAAAAATGTAGTAAGAGAGGAAGTCTGCAACGCCGCAAGCTAAGATACGTGATCTGGTAGTTCCACCGTCGTTATTTCATCCAAAGCGAACGCCTTTTGATACTTTTACATGGAATGTTTGGAGGCTGATCTTCTAGGATGAGCAAAAAATCACAACATTCATGCAAAATAAGATTCTTGCTGCTTAAGAAAGTACAGCATGACAGAAAATCTGAAAGGTCGCTAACAGGCTGAAAAAAAAATAGCGAGAAAATTACGGCTGGTTGAATTCAAAACTACTCCCAACTCATTTCCGAAATGCGACTTAGTGCGTTTCTATTTAACTCGGTCCATACTCAAACTGAACCATTGAGTCAGAGACTTAAACGAGCGGTTCGAAAAGATGGCGAAAATTTACTGCAGGTTATTGAATTCGAAACCACTCCCAACTCGTTTTTTTCCCCCGAAATCCAACTTGATGCGTCTTAGTTAAACTCGGTTCATACTCAAACTGAACCATTTAGTCAGAGACTTAAACGAGCGGTTAGAAAAAATAGCTGATTTACAGGTATGTTGAATTTAAAACCACTCCCAACTAATTTTCCAGAATTTTGAAGGAGGCTCGATTTTTACAATTGAGAGGCTTTGAGGACAGGGCGCATAAGTGCAGTTTTTGCAATTTCAAGAAACACGTGTTTAAAGTTTCAAAATTACATGCATGGAGCCTCATGGCGGAAAGGAAGTTTAAACTCACTTTTTGATACTAAAGTTGGATTTCAGTTGTGAATTTTTCACAGAACATACTTTGAAACTAGTTCTAGTTGAGTTTATGAATATCTCAATTTTTTTTAAAAACTGCACTTATGCGATTTGTCCTCCAAGCCCCTCAATTACGTACTTCGGCCGTCACTGATACTGATCTCTTCGGTAAACAGCAGCCTGTCACTGATACTGATCTCTTTGGTAAACAGCAGCCTGAATCATCTTGAATCTTGCCAGGAGAGCCGTGACTCCAAAATAATATTTCGTCTCCGTTCCCACCGGCGCGGTCGAGCTGTAGAAAAAAATCTCAGCGCTTCGCAGTATACTACCGTGCTAAGGAAGAGCGCCGTATGAGCCTTCAGACGTTGCCATATTTCCTTCAAGAAAAACCGAATTAACTGATAAAATTCTGAATATTTTTCCTCAAAATTTTCAGTCAATTTTGTTCACGATTTAATCTGAAATATCTGAAAATTTCAAGAAAATATACGCATAGATTTCCTCAAAAATAACTGTTTTATCCGAGGAAATTTGGCAACTCTCGAATGCTCGTACGGCGTTTTTCCTTAGCATGGCAGAGTGAGGATCTTGCCTTGCTTTACAACGCGCGAAGCTTGAAACTTGGATCCGACGTTTCCGAGTCGACGGAAATTCACTAGAAACTCATAACCTCAAAATCTGAATTGGACGTATTTCTGTCAAACGGAACTATGTGCATTATGACGTGAGCCCTGTTATGCATGCATTCTTACGGGTCTCAGGGCTCATGTCTTAATGCACATAGTTCCGTTTGACAGATATACGTCCAATTGAGGCGAGTTCTCGTCCGGCGACGTGTAGCAACGGCGCTGAAGCTGGAGCCGGGGCCACGAAGAAGGTTCTTGGAAGAGGACGAGCACGGACGCGACGGCTCCGCGGAGAAATCGGGCGCAATGTTGATTTAAGTAATTAACACATCGCCCATGGTGGCGTCACGTGATCATTATATATACGGTATATACCCACAACACACTCACTTATTGTTTTATTGCTCGCGGCCGTGCGCGGTTCTTCGGCAGTCCACTCTCGGACTCGGGAGGATAACTCTCAATAAACGGAAACGGCTGCATGAAGCGTCATCGAAGACGAAAGAACGTAACTCAATTTCAATGTTGCCAAATTTACCCGCGCTTATTGCATTTTTACCTCGAGAGTCTAGATCATTTCTAACTGAAAGTTTCACCGATTTTTCTTTTGATCCCCTTCAAAAATCGGAAAAAATTTGGAAGAAAATTTTATGTATATACATCCTCATAAAAAATTAAATTCATTAATTCAATTTTGCAACCTAGGAATAGAGTTACGTTTCTTCGTGTGGAAAACGACGAATAGGCGGAAATGGCTGCATAAAGCGTCATCCAAGACGAAAGAACGTAACTGCATTTCATCGTTGCGAAAATTCCGATTCCTGCAAGTTGCACTGTTGCTGTAGGAACCTGTTTGGCATTTATGACCAAAAACTTCACTGATTTTTCCTCTGATTAAAATTGTGTAGGTAGGCAAAAACTAGTAAAATTTTGAACAGATTTTGCGTAGAAATTGTCATCCTCTGGTCAAGGTATCGCAAGCGCCGTGCGACGTTTAAATATTTCCGCCGCCATTTTTTTTTTACAGAGAAAATTTTCAGCGAAGCTCTCCGAAAATTTCACTGAATTCTCTTTGTGCTGCCGATTTAATTCAGTGAAATTTCCAAACAGATTCGAAAAATTACTCTGTAAAAAGATAAAATGGCGGCGGAAATTTTTAGCCGTCGCATGGCGCTTGTGATACTTTGGTCGGAAGGTGACGAAATATCGATAGCCGAAGTGCGAAACCACGTATCTCTGTTTGCGACGCTGCAGACTTCCTGTTAATTTTCATTTTTCATTGGAAAACTAATCAGCGTAATTTCTTGAAACTCTCTAGATTTTTCTAATTTGTCAGCAGAATATTCCACGTAAATTTGAAGTTCTGAAGTCGAATTGTGTCCCTTCAAAAAAATGAGATAGGACTGGAAATTTTGAGGCACCGCAATTAGGATACGTAGTTTTTCACTTCGGTCATCAATGCTCTCGAGTTGTGATCCTCTGGGTCAATTTTGCAACATTTTAATGGAGTTATGTTCTTTCATCGAGGGAACGATGAACCTGGTGCTTGCTGCAGTTCACGATCCGGAATATCGTGTCCGTGAAAATATGACACTCTTAAGAATGATTTTTTATCTCCTTTGAAAAGTGCACTTTGGATCTTTGAATTACCGAGGAGGTGCTGCCATCTCTGCCACCAAAATGACGAATTCATGTAGCTTTGACACGTTACAAACTTTTCGTCTTGCAGGATCAAGAAATATGTTAGTATGGTCTCTTGATTCCTGATTTTATATGACTCTTAGAAATCTAAACACAAGTACTAGATTTTTTCAATTGGCGGTCTCTCATACAGTTACGTTTACTAGCCTCGTGACGAGCACTGTCGAAAACCTAATACCGGCTAATAGATTCGCGGTGAGTCATGTGTAATATGAGGAATCTAGTAACCATTAACATTATTATTTACCAATGAACATTTTTTATTATTAAATAAAACGTGGAAGCAATACCCTTAAAGTAACCTCTATTAGAAAGTTAGTGGAAAAATATTATTTAATTTTCTCTCAAAACATGAAGTAGGAGTGGAAATAAAACCAAGTAAAACGCGCCATCGAGGCGCATCTTATACTTACCGCACTGATTTTGCACTGATTCCTACCTCGGTCAATTGCATTTTCATTTTTTGGTATATTTTCTTGAATTTTAGCTTTTGTTCCAATTGAGAATGGGCTTATATGTAACTGGCCCAAAACGTCTTGATTGTGTTTATACTCTGATTTTCAGCCTTTTGTTGTTTCTGTATTGTGTCTTACACTTACCTCTTGCTCATTATTGTAGGGAATACTTGATATTGACTAAGCCTGTAAATCCTCAAGAAGTCGAAGCCATAACGACAAAAAGAAGAAATGAGGGGTTTGAAGGAAAAGGCGCTTAAGTGCAGTTTTTGCTATTTCGAGGAATACGTGTTTGAAGTTTCGAAATTACGGGGCTCCTTATGACGGAGAGAAAGTTCAAACTGACTTTTTATTGCTTAAAAATTGGAATTTGGGAGCGAATTTTTGACAGAATCTACATTAAGCTTTGCTTTACTTGAAATCATTAATACATCATTTTTTTTTTAAAAAAAAAGTGCATTCCATGTCCTCCAAGCTCCTCAAATGACCATTGGCAAATCAATTTGAACACCGGAACCGCGATAGCCTGGAACCCAAATTATATGACAGACAAAATGAAAACCTACAAAATTTATAGCACGATCTGGAGACTCAGCGACCATTGAAAATTCAACAGCACACTCGTGATATCCCAAACGGAACCTGAGACGCCAAGGGCACAAAAATGCTTTGAAGGGCTTAAGTGCGCGCTCAAAGCGCGTATAGATCTTTTTAATTTTTTTATTGCTTTGAGCTGTAACCTGGAACATAGCTACGCTGCGCAAGCAAGCATCTTTGCTTACTTGTCACGTAGTGCGTTACTCTCTACGTATATTATAATGGTTTTCAGTTATTTTGTGAAGTTTTGCAGGTAGTTTGCAAACCCCGGTATGCAGTCATTCATAAAATCTTCGGCCTCCATATCCCATCAAAGTGCGTCTGGGAGCTCAAACTTAAGTACGTTAAGGAGTGAGGGTCATATTC